TTTAATTTAATTTATTATTTTATCTTTATACGTGACTTTACCGAAAGAACCAAAGAATGAATGCTTCGTCACAGTTATTCCTCCAGCACCACCGTCTCGCATTCGCCACAATGCATTGCGGCTCTTGGATATTGAGTTGGTTTTTTATCGGATTCTAAAAAAAATTGTCTCTCCTCGTTATTTTGGTCGACAACCCCTGGTCTTGTAACACTTTTGTGCAACAACTTTTCCCCCCCATTAAGGAGTTGACAACACTGGAAATAAGTGAACTGGAGTCGTTTTATCACCCCCCCCCTGCCCTCCCCCCCCCAACCACTTTGAATCTCTGAATCAACTCCTTAACGCCCCCATGTCCGGCTGGCTTCAGTCCCAACAAGAGAGGACGCGAGAGACCCACGCATGTGGAGAGACCTCCGCGCGAGGTCAAATCCTCCGCGAAGCCAGTCTTGTTGCTCCTCGGCTGAGAAGCGGCTCACGACGACGGCGACATTGAACCTCGTGGCCACGTCCGTGAAATCCAATGGCAGAACGCACGCGGTTTCTTCCGCGAGCGATACGGACGAAGCACACGGAGAGCGGCCGATGCCGTTCAAGATGCTCGCAAGCTAAGCAGGGCTTCGAGCCCGGAATCAATCGTGCTTGGGGCGGTTGACCTCCGCTTGCACAAACAGTTGTCACAGGGGCTCGTGGCCGCTGCGTTGTGTGGCAGCAGTGGAGAGCGCAGCGAAATACATCGTTGTGCTGTACTTATATGCTCCCGCATTCGCCAACTGACGCATCGACAATTCAAAGTGCGGTTACCGCTTGTCAGTCCGTGCACGCGTGCGCGTCTGCAGGTTAACAATGCTGAACGCGGCGCGCGCATGTGATGCGTCGCTAAGCGGTCAAATTGCAAGGACGTCGTGCAATAATAAAAACATTCCTGCGGAGGGAGCTGGTAGGAACGTTGGGTTGCTCGGTCAATGGCCAGGGTCAACGGCGGCGTGGTGTATTCCGCAAATATGCCCGACTGTGACGGCGGGCACAAGCCGGCGTGAGTAGGTTAAACGTTGAGTTTTATAAGGGGATCAGGTGATGACCAGCCCCTCCCCACCCAGCCCCACCCCTCCCACCCCCCACCCAGCCCCTCCCCACCCAGCCCCTCCCCACCCAGCCCCTCCCCACCCTCCCCTCCCCACCCAGCCCCTCCCAAACACGGAACGACCTCCAATTTCACCACGTGGAGGCATTCACAACCAGTACGGTATGAGTCACAATGGGTTTATTTTTAGTTAGATCGTGTAGGTATGTTGACGTTTTTAATGTTACTGCCGTATGACCAATTCATTTGGTTCATCAGGAAAAGCGGAATTTTGTCATATTTGCAATTGTCAGATTGGCGCACAACGAGATTTCATAGGCTCAGTTGGGTGGCGAATGGTGATAGTTCAAAATTAGCATTACGTAGCTCCACGAACCCGTCCTCTCCACACCACCACAGAAATTCAATTAATTATGAATCACGAAACAACCTTGTGCGTATGTTGGGGCTTCTTTCACACCGTGCGTAGCCAACCTTGCTCATCGGATGAGGTGCGGGACAGACCTCGCTGGAGCATACGCGACCAAGGCGAACTGTGGCGCAGTGCCGGTTTAAGCGAAGTGCGGGGCCTATAGCATGATGTTATTAAGGGGCCCTAAATAAAAAAAAACCACTTAAATATTAAGACATACACATTTTTTACTTGCATAGCCAAGTAATTGTATTTTTTCATTTGCTATACAGCCGGATAACCTTAAACACCCAGTCGTTCATAAAAGTTGAAGGCGGTATAGTACTATAGCAATAGAGCAAGTGCAGAATCACTGAACCGGAATTGATAGCTTGAAAGCATTTAGCGCGGGGCCCTTGAAAGTGCGGGGCCCGTAGCATGTGTAGCAGCTACTACATGTGTAGCTACTACATATATAGTAGCTACTACATATATAGTAGCTACTACATATATAGTATAGTAGCTACTACATATATAGTAGCTACTACATATATAGTAGCTACTACATATATAGTAGCTACAACATATGTAGCTACTTTTCCTACGAGGATAATCCGGCACTGGTCGGGTGTAGAGGACGGGACAAGGGACGGGGAGAATTTTGATGACCGGCGGTAGAACGCGTGATTCATTCTTTTCGTATATTCCCCACCCAGTCCAGTCCAGCTCTCTCCCCCTCCTCCTCTCTCTCTCCAGGAAGGAGTCAGTGAAGGAGCCACGAGGAGAGATGACGTCGCGCGCCTGTTGATTTATGTGGCGTGGACACATTTCTCACATTCTCATTCTCGGTATCAAAATATAAAAATATCACAGAGTCTCCGAGGCGCTGTCAATGAGAACAACCTGGCCCTCCCATCGTTCTTCCGCAAAGGCATTACAAACAAAAAAGTAATCACCATTCATCACGCATCAAAGCACGCGGCCCCAGTAATCCTTAATCATCGTTACAAATAGCACCGTCCCGACTGTCATCGCACGGCATTGCCATTATCACAGCTACCTCGCGTCACCGTTAATCACGTGTCCTGCGGCCAGACAATGGTCATAAGACTGTCTCGTACATAAGTAATATACCCTACGCCATGCGTAGAGCGCCATGCACAATCAATTCTTTGGTGGGGTTTTGTTTTTGTATTATTATCTGTGTAAGGAACTGGCTCGTTGGTGTGCTGCGTCGTGGGATGTAATTTCGTGAAGGACGCCTCTGTAAAATTAAATTCATTCGTGACATACGAACGCTGTTGGCTGTGATTTTATTTATGCTATTTAAAAAAATATATACATTTTTAAACACGTCCCTGCCAGTGTTGGAGATGCTTCCGTACGTAGGGGGGTTCATGGGAGGGAGGTTAAATGGTGAGCTGGTGAGCGCGGCAGCTGAAAGAAAGGTGGCAAGTTTCTTAAAGGACCATGTGTTGAACTTCTTTCGCACCGTACGTAGCCAACCGTGATAAATCGGAGGTGCGGGTGACACCACAATTAGTCGATCAGCAGGTCGCGTGTGGTGAGGGGGGGGGTAAGGTGTGGGTACTCCCACTCCCTGTAAGATCTTTGGCCATCGTGGAAGAGTAGGCCAAAATAGCCTCCATAGAAAAAAGCTTTTGGAGGCTTTTGTCAGTCGCAAGAAATGTACGTTTTACATCGCATTCCTATTGTTCACGTGGGACATTGAAGCAAAAAAGACGGACAATGTGTTGTGTGTGTGTGTGGTGGAGACGAGATTGTGCAGACGGGGTGCAATTTAAATCCATCAATTAGCTGATGTATTGATTCATCGCCTCTTTGAGCAGTGTTTTAGCAATTAGCTGTTGACTTTTGACAGGCCACTTGGCAAGGAAAATCGACTGGACCGCCTTAGCATTCTGACCGTTCCAAATATTGTCCACAACCAGCGCGCGCCTACAAATAATCGCCCGTGCTTCTTCGCGTGTAACCTCAAGGTAAGAGGCTTGAGCATTGGCGACGATTGTGAATGCACGTGGCCAAAGAAAACACCCCCCCCCAATCCCACCATTCAACCTTGACTCTAGTGTTCGGCGATTCACAAATTAAATTCCTCGTGGCATGGAACGTCGCGCGAAATCATCGATCAAAATGCAGTTGTTTCGCTCGCGGTTGAAGCGCGCACGAGAATGTTTTAATATTCATGGGGAACACAATATGTAAATGCCACGATGTCGCATTTCAGCAACTGAATCGAACCTTACGGGACGGAGACAGATGCGGCAAGAGAGCGAAAAATCGGGTGGAGGTAAAGCCCCGCAATTTCTTTGTCATGTAACTGCCGGCAGAAGGGGCCTCCAGAGTGTACTTGGCCTACTCTTCCATGCTGCCCAGATATCTTGGAAGAGACAGGGAATACCCACACTTTTCACCCCATCATCCGGGACGATACGGAAAAAATTAACCCGTAAAAACAAAGTTTTTCACTATAAATCCTTTATATGCGTGGCGGCTAGAGTCCTCTCGTCCTCTGGCTTGAGATGGCTGCCACCTATGGGTCAGATGATTGCGTGCCACCATTAAGCAATTGGTAATTACATATAATTTTTTTCCTAAAAAGTGTAACATTTTGGAAAAAAATTTCACGAAAATTAATTGTCACGCACAACGAGTCTGTGTGCAAAATGTCAGCTCGATTGGATCACGGGAAGTGGGTTAAAAAACGACCGAAAAATTTGCACGGTCGTAAGCGCGCAAGCAAGCAAACGAACTTAATATAAAGGATTAAAAAAACGTGGCAATTTGTGGGGAAGTCAATAATTGTTGTCCCCTACGGATAAGACCCCCCCCCACCCCCTCCATAGGAATTGGGAATGTCCACCACTGGCTCCGACAGGATTGTTACCAGGACACGAACACCGTGTCGACGCCCATTTGAACAGCAAATCCCCGACTCGATACGGCGATAGTGACTGCTGGGTTGCTGTGAGCGAGAGTTTGCAACGAGGTCTCGTCTTCCTCGAGACATCGATTGTTCTCTTCGCCCAGGCACCCAAAGATGTTAGTTATTGCACTGCAACCGGGGTTTGAAAGGATTTGAAAACTTCATATTTTGTATGCTGTAATTTACCAGGCTTACGGAACGCCTAGTCTGTATACCATTCACACGTCCTGCGCAAGCCTACGGGGTGTAATCTGGAAACAGCGTGCTGCTAATCATCTGGGGAACATGCTTATAATGAACACAGATCACAGTGATTTTATACACGCGCATGCAGGTCACTCTATCAAAAGACTTGGAAGTCATTTGAGACTCAGAATAGACGATAATCTTGTTAATTCTCACTGCTTCCCCCCCACCACCGCCATCTGTACGACTTGTCACGTGTCCTCCTTTATTAAAGTCACTATCGCGATATTGTCATACATAAAGTCTATATGCGACGCATCATTGGAAGGCGGGGGGGGGGGGGGCAACTATGACCTTGCATTTTATTATATAGAATTGTTTTTTACACAAGCCAGCATGTTTTCTTTGTTTTATTTATACTATCGTTTTAGTAGAACAAAAAATATCCCACACAATCACACCAATATAATGTAAGCTTAAAATAGTATATCCAGAAACACGTGCTCATCCCTACTCTAAACAAAACACAAGAGATTAACCATAACTCATCTGCTTGCGACGTACATACAGGATGTATATGTAGTAAAAATGAAAATTGTATGTAATTTGACAGTAAGGCCAAAGTATAAAACATGTTTTTTAAATGCGCCTTTTTTAATACCATATACAGCGTACTGTACATTTTAAAACGTTGATTAAAACGTTGCACTCGTTGACAGCATACTGCACCTTTACAATCAGCACTTATATTTCCCTTTATTTCTATGCTTTCCACCTCAAACTTTAGATACTATACACCTTCAATAAACATTCTGTTGAAACTAATGGGCACACACGCGCGCGCACACATTTCAATTGTAAAAGTACAAAACACAGCATCTAATTACGATATATCCATCAAGTGGACAGACCACGTGCGGACCTACAATGTAGGTACAAAGTTGCAAAGGCAGCTTTAAGGGCAAAAGTGAAAAGCATTTTGATCGACTTTGGAGAGCCTCCAAAGATTTTCGAGACGCAATTTATTCCAGACGGTTACTGCAAAGCTTTGCTCAAACTGCTGTCACTGTGAATAAATATCCCGTCCCTTTTGAAGACACCACTTTGCAAGTCAACCTGCAGAGAGCGAGAGAAAGCTATTTTGGAAGCACGTGGACCTGTTTTCCAAGACTCCTTTTTGCAGGCACGGCAGCCCGGTTACATTTTCTCAAAAGCATCGTCACAAGATTCCACCTAAGGGCCAATTCAATATACAAGCTCGTATTATGTACAGTGGGAATACTTAAATTACGAAGTACAAACAAAAAATACTTAACAATACAATGGGGCATGTGTTTGTATTTCAGATAATTTAAAAGATGAAGAGCTCACTGATAATACTGTACATTCCCGCCTATCCAGAACTCTTCACAATTTCAAGACTCTACAATGGAACTCATGCGGGTCAGAGCGAAGATGGTGGTGCATTGTGCACCGTCAGTCACGTGCGGGGAGGTGTGGTTATTCCTCTTTTCTTTTTGCTTTTGGGCTGCCCCCCTGTCCCGGTGGTAGCTTGCTGCTGCTGCTGACGCAGCTGCTGCATCTGCTGCTGTTGCTGCTGTTGTTGCTGTTGCTGCTGCTGTTGTTGCTGGTGCTGCTGTTGCTGCTGCTGCAGACGGTGTAGTTGTGCAGCTGCGATGGCCCTCTGCTGAAAGAACTGCTTCTGAAAGGCTGCTGCGTATTGCTACAGCGACCATGGTTTTGGTTAGGTTGCATGGCAAGTGGTCGTGGTGGGAACAGGTCAGGGAGAGAGGGAGATGAGGATAATGGTGGATGGTGGGTGGCAGGGGTGAGTGGGGTGAGTGGGAGGGGTGGACGGATGGAGGAGTGAGTGGGAGGGTGAAATGGCGGGTGGATTAAGGGGTGGGTAAGGGTGGGTGGAAGGGTGAAGGAAGAAGGGACATGACAAAACATGTTAGTGTTGGGACGGCAGCTTCTTAGTCAGTAAAATTTGAAATTTAAATGAGTATTAAAAATTCGAGACGAGGACGAAAAACGTAAACCAGTGTGTAGTAAACTTAGCTGTTAATCACCATGAGGCTTAACCTTCCAATGGATAATTCACTTTTACTTGAAAGTGACGCCATGAAGATGAAATAAAGAAAACAACCATAAAATGAAAACGTTTGTTATTTTAGATTGCGTTGTTAAATTTCACAGGTTTCCTCTGCTGAAGATTTATCGTTGTCAGTCGATACACTTTGGTGCCAGGGGAAACGCCAGAAAACCTTTATGCCCAGTTTCAATTCACGAGAATACACTCCAACAAGACGATAATTCAGAATTCAAAGATTGACTCCATCATAAAATTCATGGCAGCATCCACTTGATTTTGGGTCAAGGAAATTACCAAAAAACAAGGTGACAACAACCTCTTCGCCCCAGAAATGAAACCCTTCTCAGAATTCAAGCTCCGCACAGTGGTTTACGTTCTTAAAAAGAGAATAATACAAAAATCACATTGTGACAAAAATATAAATTAATCATGTGACAGGCTGTAGTGATTGGCTAAGTATTCTTCACATGTTACCTCCCTAGAGGAAACACAAGACAACACTGGATTAGTGACGGACAAGATACATCCAACGGGGTTAAAGTCACAGGCAAGTGGGTACAGCTGTATGATGCTCAACCAAGCAGCAGATCTCTATTGCGCGAGGAATATTTTGACAGATGTTTGGCGTTCAAACGTGTGGTGAGTCACCCGTGAATGTGGTTTGAAAAAAAAAATCCATTGTCATGCACCACAACTAAAGTCACATTGACATCACACTTTTAAAATCCAAATATTTAATATTTATATATTTTTCTTATATATATCCAAGCTTCAAAGGTGTAGTACGCATTGGCAAAAGGACAGATGCACATGGAATAACAAATCTGAAGCAAAGGTGGAATGGCACAGGCAGGCACATAAACACATGCATATCCCTTTGATAATCTGGCACGATGAACAATGTGTGTATAATAATACATAGATTACAGAAGCAGTTAAACATTGTAAAATTCTCATGGAATAAAAAGGAAACATTGTGACCATTCCCACAATATTCGGTTCTTGGAAACAAGTGATGGATTCAAAGTTGTATCAATAAATATAAAACACCCCTTCGGAAAGCGTGGGTACACACAGCAGTGACGGCATGGTCTGGCAATTGTCAATCTTGGGTATGCACCATTTACCATGGAGGCGATTCTGCCTTAAAGATCTTCCTCTACATCCACCCTAAGGGTGCATGATAACTACTGTCAATATTTCCCTGCTGTGAGCAGCATACAGCTTGTGCATACAATGTTGATTATTCCACTGCTGGCAGGCAAAAAGGTAAAGATGCAGCCCTGCAAATGCTTACACACACCCCTGCCAGCAGAAGGCATTTGCTTCACTCTGTTACACTGGCCAGACATGACCTGCTTGCTTACCAACAAAACTGTGGTTGTACCCATTATATATGTGTTAAGAAATGTACCCCATTGTTTCAACTGGTGGTGGCTGGCCGGGAGACTGGATAAAACCGGTGACCTCTCAATTGCAAGTCCAGTGCGATAACCAATATACCTCAACGGCAGCATCCCCTTCCTTTCAATGCATTAAACCTTTAGGCAACCAATCGGCATGCTGTGCCGTGACATGCAATGGAAGAATCAACAAAGCAGTGTGCAGGGATTTAACAATTATCCTAACTCCGCCACGCGCTTGTGAAGGAATCTCTCTCATTGCATGCGAGCTCCGAAAATGTTCTTTAAAAAAAAAAAACACAAAAGTTTAATCTGCAACACGACAGATAAAATGTAAAGCAAGAATAATCGATCGGCGTTAAAAATTCATGACAATCAAAAATGTACATTCGCTTAACATTTTTTTGCAATTAGTGTCAAGTTAATGAGCGCAACACGCATACATACACGCACAGTTTAGATGTTAGTGCACGAGGGTTAATAAAAAAAACAGTAATAATTATCGTAATACTAAAACAAAATTTTGCACCCACAAAAGGGGCCCGGCTTACTCCAGAAACTGACCGCCGGATCACACAAAACAGCACCCTTTCCCCCCAACAAGCAGACGGGCGAGGGTGAGTGAGGCAAACGCAGCAGCAGCCCGATTTGTGCAGCTCAAAAAAGCCCAGGAAGACGGATAAGACGCGGCCGTGCACGGCTGGTGTACTCTCTGCAGCACCTCGGTGACGGGACGTCTCTCTCTCTCTCCGGCGCTCGCTCTCCCCGCCAGGCGCTCTCTACTTTTGGAGGTGGGTATTTTTGGGAGGTGTGAATTGGAAGCCAAGCTGCGGGATTACTTGTATCTGCTGCTGCTGCTGCTGGTGTTGTTGTTGCTGCTGCTGGAGGATGGGGCTGAGCTGCACTCGCTGGCCCGGCCTGGCCGAGGCAGAGCTCAGCTGTGTCAGGACTGCAAAGGGGAGAAACGCAAGTTAGCGATGCGGTGCGAAGCAGACTTGCGCCACGCACCTCCTGACTAGCACGGTTGTCTGTATACGGTGTGCGAAAGAAGTTCAATATAAACAAAAGTAAACCAGGTCAGGCCCACTGAGCTATGTAGCTCTTTTTCAGAAGCAACCTGACCACAAATGATAGCTCAACGAAGTGGTTTATCGCGTGGAAATTTATAGCAGCCAAATTACTCTAAACACACGTTTATAAATGTGGAGGGAAAAACCGGAGGACCCAGAGAAGAATCCACGCGACAACGGCGAGAACACACAAACTCCAAATATACAGGCGTCAGGGTCGGCATCGAACCCCCAACCTCCTGTATATACCAGGTGAGGTAGTTAACGTCTTGACAACGTACATAACCCCGCCCCCCACATCCTCTCCATGCTCAAAATGATAGTCCTGGCATCTCTGAGCAGCGCAAGGTCGGCTCATCTGTGTTTAACTATGATTGTCACTGCTGACTGTGTATACACGAAGAACTAGCAAACTGAGTGATGTGCGACTCTGATGTGCTTTTAGGTTGTACCACGTGTTGATTGGAACGACGTCCCAAACGTCGGACATAAAGCTGACCAACCCATAAACACATCCGAGCAGTATTAACAATGTAATAGTCGCATAGCTGTGCACAGCAAATCGGTTGTGTTAACAAGACAAGAGGTGCTATGTGGTGGGGCAGGAGACAGTGGTGTAGCACAACCATTTCTGTACTGTACTTCTATGCACCCCTGCCTTGACCAATCCACAGTGACCAGTGTGGTTGTAGAACTGTCAAATGGAGTACTTCCAATTAACTGAATTGTGACAATTTAATTAAATGGTAGGGCAGTGAATCACTACACCTACAAGTGTATAAATGTAAAAAAGCATTTACTTATTAAGATCTACTGCACAAAGAAAGGTAAAAGTTTAGCTGCAAGTCTAAATGTGTAAATCATGAAATGCGATTGAGAGGCAATTAATTAACCACAATTGGAAATGTCAACTTCACGCGTGAAAAGGATTCTGAGAATTTTCAAAATGCTTGCTTTTATGAGAATGGATGGAAATTCAGTTGACGTACATGGCTAGACAAAGACAAACCATGAAAGGCTTATGAGTAATTTAAAATGCAAGTGACTTCTAATACCGCGCTGAAATATGGAGATACAATTTACATGTATAAAGCGTTTAAATACAACCGCATCTCAATAACTCTGTAACATTATCAAGCCTTAGAAGACAATATAGGTATCATCTGTTTAGAATAATTATACATCAAGGTTTTTGGGTTAGATCGCGTAAGTATAAATGTGTCGAAACCTTCCACCACCCGACACGGCCAGTAAGGTTTGTCACGTAAACAACGTGCCCGTTAGTTACGCAGCATTGTAAATGTTGTGGATTACTCTCCAACACACCGGTGGGCTGAAGGAGTAACTAATTGGCGCGTTGTTTACGTGACAAACATTACTGGCTGTGTCGGGTGGTGGAAGGTGACGACACATTTATACTTACGCGATCTAATCCAAAAACATTTATTATGAATACTGGTAGCGAAAGCATACATGTTAAGAAGAATTATAATTAAGACGGTACTTTGAAATGTGGTTGAAATTGCTAGTAGCATATTCCTTACGTGCTTGAGTAATCTTCAAGCGAACACAACAGAATTCACAATAATCACAGCTGAGATGCTCTACATGAAAGGGGCCTCTCAAATGTCAATGTGAAGTGCATAACCAATATACCGTGACAGACACGTGGAGGTTTGGATGTATGAAACTCATATAACATCGTCATACTACGACCGAGTGTGTGTGCGCGTGTGTGTAGCTTTTTCAAACGACCTCAAACTGCTGTACAATTAATAGCCTCGTACAATCGAATGAGACCTTTAGAAACACCTGGTGTTATCAACATTTACAAACATCTTATAATTGATTTCCAAAACGTAAATCTCTGCCCAAGGAGTGGATATGGAAAGACCGATAAAGATTATGACCAAGTTAAAAATAGAAAGCCATTACACGGCCGGAGGGGGGGGGGCAACACGGGGGGGGGGGGGGGTGTCGGCTTATTGGAATATAACGCGACGGGTCTAATTGGATGTGCAGCACATTGCAGGAGGAAGACGAAGGTGCCGCGGCTACGCCGCTGGACAGCGGACGACAGGCGGGAAGGGGGAGGGGGGGCAGCGAGGTGTGGAGGGCAGCGAACGGGCAGAGGGAGGTGGCACCTGTGGCTTGCTGGGGAGAAGTCATGAAGCTCCCAACCCCTGCCAGGCTAATGACGGCTGTCTGCTGTGCCGCCGCCGCAGCTGCCGCCGCCAGCGCTTGCTGATCTTGGCTCGAAGCGCATGCCTCCAGACCCTGCCAGAGATGAGCCCGGGGGATTAGGAAGCCTGCCTTCTCAGGGGCAAACTCGAAAGCACTCCCGCCATCCACCGCGAACGCGGCCAAGACGACGCAGTAATGGCTCCCAAGTTCAATTCTTCGCAGACACAATCGCCACCACCACCATATGCCAAATCACCTATTTTTAAACGTGCCAGGTTTTTGCAGCAAACATTTGAAGGTCGAATTCCTTTTGGAGCGTAACATTGAACAGCTTCTTATTTGGGTCTTTCGGTAAAGTCACGTAGATAGGTTCAAATTAATAAGCTGCAGCTTTCCCCCTCTTTTTTTCTCCTGATGACGTTCGCTTGTGTTGTGATCGAAACGTCGTAGTTTTTGGTTTATTTTATTATTATTAATTTGAACCTATCTACGTGACTTTACCGAAAGACCCAAAGAATATGAATTCCTGCAGTCACGAAAGCTTTAAGTCAAGAGTGAACAGCTTGTCTGGTATTAACCCCTTTCCCGTTTCGTTTTTCTTCCGATTCCATTCCGATGACGTAAGTGATCAATGTGGTGGGTTTGGAGCTCCACTGAAGAGGTAAAATACTTTAAAATCACGGGTTTGTGCTCCGTCGTAGCGTAAGTGTACGTCATTGTAACGGAACCAGAAGAAAAACTAAAAAAAAATACCGAGGCTCCTACAAGGCAATGCGGGAGGGCATGTGGCACAGTTTGGCGCTCAGCTATCGTAGAGGGCAGTCGTGTCGCTACGGTTCTCTGCAATGAGAATAATGTCTTAAAAAACAACTCTCTAAATAAAATTAATGTTGAACTGCTTGCACATTCAAAAAATTTGCGGTGATCGAGACCCCACCATAAACTTGCAGTCGTCTCAGAATGGGAAAGGGTTAAGTTGGCACCCAGAGTTAATTCTCTTGCTGATAATTTCATTAGAGGGAGGTGGGAATGTGCGGTTATATTCACATCCAGATTCCTAATCCTGTCCCGCTGTTAATTTTTTTTGCGAGCAGGTGGAGGCGGCAGTGAAGGGAATTTATAGTTTATGAGAACGTGATACGGCTTAAATGCTGAATTAAGATGCGTGACGACCAACTGCAGTGTTTATAAATTAATGGTCAGAAGACGGTATTAGAATACAAAACAAACAAGCCGAACTATTTTTTTTTACTGCAGAAACCTATCGACGGAAGATTTTCATTAACCGTACCGACTGAAGGTGACTTTGTGCGGCCAAGCAATTTTCGTCCTCAAGGAAAACTTAACACAAAACCAGATAAAGAATGGCCACGGAGGTCAGGAGAAGGTGCGCGGGTGAGAAGGGAAAAGGGGTGAGAGGGGAGGAGTTGAGGACAGCATGGGGAGTGAGTGCAGAGCACAGGAGATGCACAGAGATCAGAACAGAATATGTATTTATACTGGAGGAATCCGATGAGCTATAAAGCTCTTTCTCACAGATGTCCAGTCGGGCATGGGGTAAGAACGTTTCAACAACAAACACAAAAAAATATGATAGAAGTGCAAAGCACAAGAAAGCTTTACAAATCACCCAAACACATACAAATACGACCAAACCAGCCTACCAGGCAAAGCCCACTGAGATGATTTCCCAATTTGCGAGTTTGGCCCACACCTGGGGTGGAGCAAAGGCACAGTGGAACCGTTCACTGTGCTACGAACCTAACAACCTGAGTTTGATTCCCAGCCATGGCTAACATCAGTGGAGATTGATATCTGAACCGTTCCTAGCCTCCCTCCCCCTTCACCAAGCTGCACTGACAACCGTGAAAAAGAATGGTAAAAAAAACCCATGGCCGTCATGGAGTGGGTGGCTTTTATCCAGCGGTGGACTGACCAAGGACTGATATTTTACATTATTACACACTGGACTGATTGCAGCAGTTAATGGACAGTACACTTTAACTATAATTTGAAGCCTCCACAAGGCTGAACAGTATTTTTTTCTTCATATTTTTTCCCCCCCATAAATATTTGTTTGTCTTCTCAGCCTCTGGATAGTGAGAAAGAGAGGTGCAGGGAGGTGGGTGTAAGCAGATTATCATCTTCATAAGGAGCAGCTGACTATTGCCGAGGTTTCTTATTCTACGTTTTTATATTTCTATCGGCCCCAAATGACAAACTTCCACTGGATCCGACATGGTGTAATAGAGTCCCGGACCCTGACGCCTCGAACGACTAATTCATCCCTGGGGTAAACGTGCACTGCCTAATGTACTGCGGCATCACCTGGTCAGTCGGCTGGGCAGCAGAGAGGGAGTGCCCCGGGGAGGGCTGCCCGGCTTGCTGCTGGGCGTGGAACTGCTGCAGCTGAGAGTTGAAGATGAACGGCGCCTGAGGAGGAAGACGCGACAAGCCACGGTGTGAGCGACGCGCCAACAAGCGCTGGTCACACACGAAAGACGTAAACCCAACGACTTTGGTTTACAGGAAGACGCAACCCAGAGCTGTCTAACACAGGTTTGAAGTTTTATTACTGGGGTAAACACTTTGATGTTCTGGCCAAGCGCGGGCCATTATGGTTGTTGTCGTAATTTCGTGAACAAAGGTGACGCTGCCAATGGTATCATGACTTGTGTGTGCGACTGTGGCTGTGAAGACCAATGCGTGAGTGGCCAGTCTTTTGCACAGTCGTTGCACTTGTAAGTTTACATTTGAAGAGGTTGCCTATTGAGAGACAAGTAGGTCACGAAGTTGTCTTTTTGTGAAATTCGTTACAATCGAGCCATTACCGTACTCGAGTGATGTCAACGTGACGTCACTCGCATACGCTTCAACATGTCGATACTTTGACATCGACGTGGCGCTACGATGGAGAGCAAAGCTGTGATTTAAAAGTATTTTATCTCTTCAGCGGACCTCCAAAACCACCATATTGGTCAGACCAGTACACACGCAGGCCTGGGTGAGTGTCGACAAAATAAGAGGCGAGTGATTTTTGCGTTGCGTCTTTTCCTTTGCCAAGAGCCGAGGCATGCAGCAAGCCGGTGAGTGCTTTGACATTTCACGAAGCCCACCACGTGAGCTGTGACCGGTGGGTATGAAGCACAGTAAAACTCTTAATTATTCAATTAAAGGCACGCAGCAGGATCAAGCAGGAGCCACATCAATATTAAATGAGGCCGGGGTGTATATTAATCTCCATGCGTTATGACCCGACCACGAAAACAGAAGTTAAATACTGTTGAAATCGTAATGATATTTAACATGTAAATGACCCATTCCATCTACGTTTTATTATGGCATGCTTTTTTTATTTTCTGGCTCTGTTGTGAGCGACACAACAATGCACGTTTGTCAATGGTACTTTTACCTAACCATAACTACACAATGATAAAAGCACGGTGATAAAAATCACGCACACATACAAACCAAAAATGCAATAAATGTTGTGGTATTGGATATCTCGTTGATATTCATGCCAAAACAAAACGTGATGGTGGATTGCGACCGACTTGCCGTGTTAAAGTAATGTTTCATTAAATCCAGCCTTTCTCATTATAATGCAAATCTATAAGAGGGCTGATCGTCCATATCAGCTGTGAAGACCCATCCACTATACCGCAGCAGTTTGCCAATAATTATTGGAATGAGTTCAGTCAAATACAAAACTAACACAGGCGATCACATCATGCATTGTAGAACACAGATAAATGTGAATACAACTTTTGGATTTTACAATGCCATTGAGATGTCATTTGCTTAAAAAGAAAAAGTTTTTTTCCCTCAAAGTACTGCACTATAAATATTTTTAGAACAACTAATACAGTGCTCTTCGTGGCAATGAAAGCAAACTGAGAAAAAACACTGGTAAACGAAAGAAAGTAACCGTGGTGTCCGTTGTTTCCGAAATATAGTGGAAGTTTTGAACAGATGACATCCGATAAAGGTCAGGGAATCAATGGGATAATGATGGCACTGGGGAAGGCAGGATAAGACAAAATGTCTCCAAGAGTTCTCCAAGGACACAACTAACTAAAACCAGGCTCCCTAACAGTAATTCTCAACGGAGAGACATGCGTTTCCATCCATTGCTAAAATAATAATAGAGCGAATCCAGCTTGTTCCAGTCATTTAAAATGTTATCTGAAAGAGCGTACACATGTATTGGACCTGCGTAGCTAACTTCTGCGAGAAATTTAAGCTGCGAATAATATTAAACGAGTGGCATGTTGCCAATTCAGGGCTGTCCCTTGTATCACTCTTTCAGATCGTATTTGAAAGCTGCCCAAGAACAGACGCCACCAAACACACAAAGCTGCAATGCGTGCGGCCGAAAATGAATAAGTATAACCCGTAAAAACAAAGTTTTTCACTATAAATCCTTTATATGCGTGGCAGCGAACTTAATATAAAGGATTAAAAAATATATTCGCCTGTGGAGGACGCGGGGATCGATCCCGCGACCTTTGGCATGGGAAGCGAGGGCGCTACCAACTGCGCTACTCCGCCACGGCCTGTGGAGGGGTTACGCTCTGGGCTCTTATACTGTGACGTTCAGCCAAAGCTATGAATGAGTTCTATTTGAATATATGTAAAATAAAATTTTTTTGCCTAAAAAGTGTAAAATTTTGGGAATTTTTTTTCACGAACATTAATTGTCTCGCACAACGAGTCTGTGTGGAAAATGTCAGCTCGATTGGATCACGGGAAGTGGGTTAAAAAACGACCGAAAGATTTGCACGGTCGTAAGCAAGCAAGCACGCAAGCAAGCGAACTTAATATAAAGGATTTAAAAAGGAACGTGCGGTATTGCTACACGGCACGCCGCTTGGTTCCAAGGTTAATTGCGCCAACAGATTAGCAAGCAGGGCGTTGCTGACACAGAAAGCCGTGTGATTGCAATGGTCGACAGAGTTGAGATTTCATTCCGGGATAAATCGCCACGCTAGAAACAAGCCTCCGCTTGCTTTGCCCATTATGGCAATTTGCTGCCAATCATGCCCGTGCCCTCAATGCCGAGCTGTCCTGCCCTGCGGGATGAACGTGGCGTTGCCATCCACGTGGGGTGTTGGTGTCTCGCGCCGTGCAAGAAAAAAACGAATGCAACTGAGGAGGGAAAAACAGCTTTGTATTATTTTTTGTTTACCGAATAAAAAGAAACCATTCGGATGCTTCCGAATGGAGTTGATAAAAGCATTCATTTTTGTTTTTAAATAAGAGTAATTTGAAGTAATTGAATTAATCTTATTTTCTTTCTCTATTTCCATGAAGGGAATGTTTTGCAGCAAGCAAAAAAATATGCCCTCGTGGTCCCTGACAAAAGCATCCCATTATGTTTGATCATCCAACCGTAAAACGTTGGTTGTCACGGATATTGGAATATGTAATTTGTCATGCCCTGCAAGGGAACAGAGGTTTCAGCAGGCAAGAAAAGTGGATGAGCATGCAAAGACAAAGGTACCCCCGTATAGCCTTAACAGACGGTTGGGGCAAGTGCTGTTAGCGAACACTTATGAAGGCCGGCACAGCACACGAGGGGGTGGGTGGCCAGCACCACACCTGGCCGTCTTTGTCTCCCGAGTGACGATGTGTACATATCACACCAGGTACTTATTTTGAGGCTGGGTCGACCTAGAGGAGGCCCAAGAACGGTTCAGATAATCGTCACTGGTGTAGGTCATGAGCGGGAATCGAACTCGGGTCGCCGCTAACTGCTGCACTACCGCACGCCACGGATGAGTGTGCACGCATGCACGAACATACGCGTGAGTGAGCGAGTGTGAAAATATCAGTCGTGTATTATTAACAACGAGAACACGTCACCATGAAATGACTATGAGAAGGCAGGAACCAATCCCGTCCCTGAGTCCATGAGAAACGGGGGCACAAACCAACTTAATAACCCTGCTGTTGGGGAGGCACCTGAATGTACAAGATCTCACCACCTACTGCCAAAGTAATTTCCTGGTCAAATGAGCATGGAGGTCCTGAGCCAGAGGTGGAAATTCCACATTCCTATAGCAGGGGTACTCATTTTTGATCCCCGGAGGGATTATGGGTTGAGCCAACACCAAACCAGGATTTGAACTCGCAACCTTCCGGTTTGCGAGTCGCTCGTTCTGACCGCTGAGCCACCAGGCTCTTTGCACATTTAATAATATACTGTCTCATACTTATCTAGGAATGCCCGAGTCTCAAGGCTCAATTTAAGGAGCACCCTACATTGGCATACTTGACGCATTTCTTTTTTAAAGAGTGTTTAACATGTGGAAGGAAACCAGAGTTACCTGGTGAAAATCCACACACACCAGAAGATAAAACTCAGATAACACATATGGGTTAACAACCCACTTGCTAAATGAAGGTGCAGCCCTGCAATTACCTGCTCACGCCATTGCTGGCGGAAGGGTCATCAAACGGAGGGAGCTCAAGAGAGCCGCTAAAGAGAGAATTTGGCCTACTCTTCCACACTAGCTAGACGTCTTAGAAGAGGTACACTATCTCACACACTGTCTCATGACAACCAAGCTGCTGATCGACTAACTGTGGCTGTACCCATTTATATTGCTGCTGGGTGAACTGAGGTGGTGGGGGGGAATTTAAGACACTTGCCCATTGTTTCAACTGCCATGCCAGGAGATCAATTCAATCGGCAACCCCTAAATTGCAAGCCCAGTGTGCTACCCATTACACCACCGCAACATCCCACATGCTGTGCTGCCATCACGTTCACATCTTAGCCCAGTGGGGGTTTGTGAACTTCACAAATCTACGCGATTCACCAACTCTCGCCTCTGCAGCTCATTTGCGCACAAACCACAAGTTCTGTGGTAAGTGCACCGATTTTCCTAGAAACGCTCGTGTTACTGTTTCATGCATTTTGTGCGGGCGGGCGACGACACACCACCGTGCGCCTGCAAGAGTACGTGCGTGTGTGCCTGAGTGTGTGCGTGCCTGAGTTCGTGCGTGCCCGAGTGCGTGCATGCCTGAGTGCGTGCTTGAGTTCGTGCGTGCCTGAGTGCGTGCGGCCACCATAGTCTACTTGCGTGTACCTGGTGGAGCAGGCTGCCGGGCTTGTGCCCATATGGGGTAGGAGGTGCCAGCGGGGAGCCATGCATCCTCATGCCCGGGCAGCCCGGCACATGCTACCCGCGCAGGGGCCCACAGAGCGGCACCGCGCACGCAACGCACGCAAGCAGGGCGGGTGGGGGGCGGGAGACATAGCCAGAGGGCGACGTGCCAAAGGAGGAGACGGGGACCCCCCCCAGCAGGTTTTGCAGACCCGGTTGGAGGAAAAGTGGAGAAATAGGAAGCACAAAGCAGAGGCAATAGCAAAGACAGCAGTTCTAAAGAAGGAGCAAAAGGTCAAGATACGCAAGAGTATTGTCTGTAGCGGTGAAATCAGGTCCATTTGTAAAACACATTTATTCACGCTGCTGAACATTTTCGAACATCTACATTTCACACTGTTCCTTTATTTAATCATGTTGTATTTTTTTCGTTACGGGCAGGTACAGGCTGCTGTGTCATTTGTGTGGAATCCGAAGGCTTGTGGGTAGCGTTCGTCATTGCGTTACCTGCAGCATCGGCAGCTGGCCTGGCATTCCCGCTCGCATGCCCTGGGGGCTCTTGGCTCCAGCCACCAGTGACCCAAACGCCATTGGGGACGCTGCACCTAGGAGACAACAATAGCTTTCATTGTCGCGGAACAACTGATTCTCTCTCTCATCAGTAGTTTCCCAATGTCTGGCATATATGTCTCCCCACAGTATATGATTTTTTGGCTGTTGGCGCAGATGTGAATGTGCTTTGTGTTACAGCCATAACGTTCATGTCAGTGTTCCTTCAATGCAAGGCTGGCAGGCCACGGGTGGCCCCTGGTGGCCTTTCGTGCAGCCCCAGACGTGCGGCCCCCGACAATACACAAATGTGAAACCGTCCAACCCAATGGTTTCAAATGTGTGGCGACCTGCACACTGATGCCTTATCGGCGAAAGCGGCCCCCCTCTGAAAATTAGTGAAGAACACTGGTGCGCGTGCTGTGCGGTTAACGTGTCGTGTCCAACGCAAGCCCGCACGCGTGTGTCGTACCGGTGTGCGCGGCATGGATCAGGGCGCCGGGCGAGCCGATGAGGCCGGTGAGTGTGCTGGCCGAGCTGCCCGGGGTCAGGAGGGGCTGAGCTCCACTGCTTCATGGAGCCCAGGTGGGAAGGGCGGCACCGGCGAAGCAGGTACGCCCAGGGGAAAGTGTTGAAACGGGGCACGCGAACAACAACCTCAGTGTCAGCGATTACACGTGAAGACGGTGCACCGATTTTCAATGACACACTTCAATACACAGAAAGCACAATCACGGAAATTAAATTGTCAACGTTAACAAATGTGACAAGCATGATTTGTTCTTGTGCTCGTTAGCCTTTTTTTAGTGTACATTCTGTTTTCCTGTGTGACTTGAAAAAATTAACAATGGAAAATTAACGAGGCTTATTTGCTGCGATTGTCTGAAAGAAACATGATGTTCCGTGTGACTTTACATGAACATTATTACACAATTGTTAAGAAGAACTGCCGATGATGAAGGAGGCTGGGCGGAACAGAGGTCAGAGCGCCGAGTCAACAACGTTGAGATGCTAGATTCAAATAGAGGCAGCTGCATGTTTATAAAACCGGGTGTGATTGATGGTCAGCCCACTTATCTATGAATGGTACGAAAAAATGCAATCCAATTTAATGTAGTCTTGCACTTAACGTGGCTATATTTTAACTCTGAGAATTAAAAATTTGAGTTTATTAATTTTTTCAGAACCTTTGATGAAATTCAAACGTTTGTTGCTCAACCTTAATGCAATGACTGAATGTACAGTAGGTAAATTTTCGATCATTCGGCAGCACGTTTGAAGTAATTAACAAATTAGAGAGTTATCTTACTGGAGTTGCAATTGGACTTTCTATAAAATTTAGACATGATAAAAAGCCGTAAGATAATATCGATTCAGGAAGGCTATTAACTGATGTATGATGTATGGCCCCTGAGTGCTGCAGTATGAGGAACTCCAATGAACAAAAATAAAAGTTACTGCAGAAATGAGCTGGCCAAGTGTCTAGACTACAGATAAAAATGCAATAAGCAATAAGAGAACAATTGAGACAAGAGATGATACTGACAGAGCAGATCCAACCCCAGTTGTTTGCACAGAATACCAAACATGGCTTTACACACAAAAGTATATAGGGAGGCTCAGGACCGATTCAGATAATCATCACTGGTGTTGGCCCGTGAGCGGCAATCGAACTCGGGACCACGGGTTCGCAGCGTAGCAGCGCTACCACCGCCGCTCCCCACCCCAACCATGGGCTGCCACAGCGGCTCCCCACGAGCACCCACAGCCAGCCGCGTCGTGCCTACCAGACGAGGTAGTTGCTGAGGTTGAGGGCGGCGCCGGGAATGACCTGCGTGGGCGAGGACCCGCACGGCGGGGGCACCGTCCCCGGCACAGGGCCCGGAACGGAGGCCGCCGCGGCAGCGGCCGCCGCGGCCGCCGCCATACTGTGTATGGGGATGGTCATCATGACGCCCCCCGCCGAGCCCCCGCCCTGCGCGAATCCGGCCACCGACTGCCCCAGCGGCCCCACCAGCGCCGACAGCTGCTGCTGGTGTTGGAGGGCGAGCGCGGCGGACGTGCCCATGCCGCCGCCGCTATCGGGGGGCGTCGGGGTCATGGTGGGCGTGGCGGTGGGCGTGGGCGTGCGGGTGTCCGGCGGGTGTGGAGTGGACGACGGGGTGTTGGTCGGTGTCGGCGTGGACGGTTTGGGAGTTCCCGAGCCTTGGGACACAAACGCAGGATGTGGTGGGGGCAGGTTATTTATATGTAAATAATCTTCCCCCTCCTACGAGATGTTAACTCCCTCGCCTGGTACGCAGGAGGTCGTAGGTTCGATCCTGACAATGATGCACACTAGCACAGCCTCTTTGCGCGCCGACCCGTGCGTTGTGGCTCTGCGATCTGCCATTAACATGCTAATTTTCACCTGGCAGCCCTTTGATTGGTGGAAAACCAACCACCGTCGGGTTGGGCTGCCCACCACTTATATTATCATTGGCTGCTGACATTTGGGCTACGCTCATTTCAAACCCCTGATAAACAGTTTGCATTGGAAGCTAACCCCCCTTTTCCTGAAGACGACCGCTTGTGTTGCGATCGAAACGTCTTAGTTTTTTGTTATTTTCTTTGAACATATCTACGTGACTTTACCGAAAAACCCAAGAATATTAATTCCTGCAGTCACGAAAGCTTTAAGTCAAGATGTATATTTGGAGTTTGCATGTTCTCCCCGTGGTCGCGTGGACTTTTCTCCGGGTCCTCCAGTTTTTCCCTCCACATTCATAATCAACATGCATTTAGAGTATCTGACTGCTGTAAATTTCCACATAAGCCACTTCTCGTTCAGCTTTCATTTGTGCCCAGGTGGCTTCTGAAAAAAAGCTATATTGCTAAAGAAAAAGTTCAAATAGTAGTTATTTTTTATATTTTATCCTGACAAGATGAAGAAGCCATTCGGATCTCTCGCAGGGCATTAAAACCCTCTTCGTGTAAGAGGATGGCCCACGGAAGTGGATATCAACGAGCTAACCCTGAGATGCAGTAGAGGGCAGCACTTTCCCACCCACTCTTCCACCGAGAGGAATATTCATCGCATGACAGCCAAACTGATCATTTTGAATTCTCACAGCTGGAATTTAGCCAAATTGAGTGGAGACCCAAAATCGTTCTTCGCTCTTTGGTGACTCATTTAACTTAAGAAACTGGCTGTTTAATTAAAGGCAGTTGCCTAGATTTAATCACAGCAGTGTCAGCTCAGCACCCTGACCTCCGAGCCACCCTGCTACCTGCAGCTGAATCATTGTTGGTAATGCGTGAATCGGCGGTGGCGGGCGAGGCTTACGCTGGGAGGTGGCGGGCGACATGACAGGCGGGGAAAGAAGGCCTTGCTGCACCAGGTCGACGGAGTGTTTCCGATTCCCGGCAGATTTTCCGGCCGGGGGTGGGGTTGATGTCGATGACTTCAAAGAGCTCCCGCTTGGACTGAACACGGAGTAACCTGGAGGTGAGAGCAAAACCAGTGGGCGGCGCGTTTAACAATTAAAAGAAATCAGGGAAACAGATGTAGTGCAACATAACCGTGTGGTCTGTGCGATCGGCAACAATTTTGTTGCAGCCATCAGTGAGTACAGGTGTGGCGGCGAAAGGGATCGAACCGAGTGTTAACCGAGTAAACTAACGATAAGGGAAAGGATTTGCATTATTCTGTCACTTAAATACCACTGCATCACAAAGCAAAGGGTGGGGGCATAGCAAACCAAGCAAAAGCTTAGGCCCAAGCATTTAAAAAGGGGCCTTAAATTAATGGGACAAAAACGGTATCCATTAAACTTCATCTCAAATTCAGATCCTAATAAACATGAGTTAATGAACATCAACAAGCTCATTAATCTCACACCTCTATCTTGTCTGCAATTATTTTCTCTCATCGCATTTAACGTCTATTTGTGTCTACATTTTTGTTCCCTCACTCCATCTCTAATTCGAATCTATGTCAGAAGTGCTTCTGCAGAAATCTTCCTTCTGATATTAGGAAGCCGTTGGAGCTATGCACTTTTAAAATCTAGACTGAAAACAAATTTCTTTAAAACTGCTTTTTGTGGTTAGTCTGTTGTCCTTCCCCCCAGCTCCGATTATCACGGCTGGCTAATCATACATTCGTTACGCGCTTGCAGGCGAAGACGGTTCAGATGAAACGACTCTGCGGGCGCTGCCCGTGTACTCTTAAGGAGACCATGGGATCTGCCGTTACCTGCGGAGCCACTGCTACTCCCACCGGGTCCTGGCAGCTTAATCGGGGGAGGGCGATGCCGCAAACCCTTGCCGAGCACGGAGGAAGAAACCATGGGCTCCAACATCTGAGCATTGAGAACAACAACAACAACAGATGCTTAATTGGTGCTAAGGAGGCTTAATAAAACTAACAACTGCCCATGTATCAAGTCCAAGGTTTAAAAAGTGATCCTCCCAATGGACAGAAAAAATACATTCCTGCGGAGGGAGCTGGTAGGAACGTTGGGTTGCTCGGTTAATGGCCAGGGTCAACGGCGGCGTGGTGTATTCCGCAAATATGGCCGACTGTGAGGGCGGGCACAAGCCGGCGTGAGTAGGTTAAACGTTGAGTTTTATAAGGGAACCACGGGGTGACCAGCCCCTCCCCACCCAGCCCCACCCCTCCCACCCCCTACCCAGTCATACCCTCCCCCACCCCACCCTCCCCACCCAGCCCTCCCCACCCAGCCCCTCCCCTCCCCACACAACCCCACCCTCCCCACCTAGTCCCTACCTCCCCACCCAGCCCCTCCCTGCACGACGGACGGACACAATAATCCCCTGTGGGCTGGTGGAACCAGGTGGTTTCTACCAGTATAAACCAGCCCTGGCTTTGCAGCTGTGACCCAACTGACTTTTGCTGCAAAATAAATGTATTATAGTTATGTTAAGTTTTCCTTGGATAAAGTGTTCATCCAAGCATTCATGTTTGTTTGTTCCGATACATTATCTGTAGCCACCATACGTGCTCCAAGGTTCAAGTCTGATGATTACTTTTTTAAACTTCTCATATTATAAAGTCTCCTTTTGTTGTTGACTAAATTAAATCTTATATATCCAAGCCTTCCCATTTATAAATGACATTACATCTCAAAGGGCACACACCAGGAAACTAGACTAATGGAATACGTTCATGGCAACCGCCATCACCCTAGGTTACGGCAAAGGCTTAAAACGGGTGAAGCGAGGACACTCAGTGAGGGGCAGGGGAGGGGGCGGGGAGGGGCGGGAAGGGGGGGTGGAGAGGGGGCATGGGGGCTCACCTGGTTCTCGTGATCGTTGATGAACGTGAGCTTTTGACCGTGGCCGTTGGAAATGTGCTTCACATTCACGGGCTGCCTCACATCCGCGTGGATCACGTCCTTGAGTTGCGAAACGAACCTGCGTCGGGCGCCAGGTCGATCGATCGATCGATTAATCAATTGATCAACACATCCGACTGTCATTTTGAGCCCGAGTAGACGAAACCAATGAAACGCAAACTCGGGAAGACATCTGTGACCATCTGGCTAAGTTCCAGTGAACCGTTTTAAGAGGAGTGGTGGTGGTTAAAGCGTGGCACTCAATATGCACTTGGTAAAGTTAATTTTCAGTTTTATTTGATCACACCCTCCCCTCATTTTGATTTAAAAGTCAACGGCTGAAAATATCACTCTCATCAGTTGACATTTACAGGTCGCAATTTAGCAGTCAAATGAATGTAACCAGATGGTGTGACCTTAAAAGTAACAAACTTGAATTTTGAGTGGCACTGCAGTGGTGGTATACGAAATAAACAGGAACATATAAATGTGGGCAATTAATTGTGTACAGACATCTAGAGCTCTTTGTGAATCTAGATTACGGCTTGCCCCATTGCCATCTGGGTTGTGGAGGTTATTTTAGGTTACTTCATTGAAGGTGGGACACACAGATGTGGGGACATAAAGTACAATACAACCATAGATATTGCCAAACTGCCCTCTGCTACCCACAACGTAGCCCAGTTTAGATAACAGCCGCGAAATGTCCGACCGTCATTTATCATTTCAGGGTCCAAGTTTAATTTTAGGAGGAAACGAGAGGCCTGAAGAGTGGTAGCCCCGTGCGTGCATGAAGAGCACCCAAACAAACAGGGGGATAAACAGACATTTGCTGGACTGCCACCTCCCAGGCAATTTGCAGCCCCGCGGGGGGTTTGGTCGTCCACGGTGATCCACCAACAACCCCCCCTGCCTCTAAAGCATTGAACCCACAATCGTGTCACCATGTCCGGCCGAAAATCATGCGGTGCTGACCTTGATACGCCAAACACAAAAGCGTTCCTAGCAACACAGCGGTCACAAGCGAAAGCTTTAAATCCTGCACTTGAAATAACAACAGCAGTGGGATTATAGTGTGAAATGTAAGTTTGCACAAATATTCGAGCATGCTGATAATGTTTTGCAAGAATGATAAACAAACGTTTACCGATTTGCTTCTTCTTTTGATGCCAAAATGAATCTGTGAAGACAATGGCGAAGCGTCAGCGTAATGGGACGACATACGAGTTGTAAAATAACACAGCAATGGCATGGAACATTTCTTAAAAACCCTTCGATCAAAACATTAATTCTCGACTTTTGAGTAAGCATGTAATATTACATCGATAAATCAACTGCAGTTCTTATGCTACCGAGACAGTGATATACTGGTACAGAATTACGGCTGTGAGAATCGACATTCCATTCGTCTGCTGTAAGGTCATGTGACCCCTGCGGCCCCAATAGGCACTGCATTCATCACAATGTTAAAAATAATTGAGCCACGCTCACAAACTGAGGCAAGTCATTAAATTTCAATGGGGACATTATTATCATGTCTACTGCTTAAAACAGGGTATTATTACAATATTTTCTGGTGCGCCACAGAATAAAATTAGTGTGTTGATGGTCCACGTAGGTTGGGACCTGGCACGGGACATGACATCATAACCTCTCATATTTTTTTTTTTCTCTAGTTACACTCACTTGGCTCCGCTGGGCATCTCGCCATCTTCGTCATCGTCTCGCCCGGGGAACGTCCCCGCGTAGATCTCGCCGCGGCAGGCGTCCCCGCCACCGGGGCTGCGGCAGATGACGAGGCGCGAGATGCAGTCGCCGCCGCCGCCTCCCTCGTATTCGAACTGGTACTCGTCCTCCAGGGCCTGCGCGCGCCGCACCGCGTCGCCGTCAGTAGGGCAACACCGCGGCGACAATGCATACAGGCGTACGCGCTCGATCACATGCGCGCACCAATTGCGCTCCCACGCTTTGTCAAGAGGTAACGGAGTTTGAGAGCGAGCGAGCAGTCGGAAAAAGCGATTTGTAACCACGAGCGAGTTGAACGTCATAATGTGCGACCGACAACAACAGCTTCGCACCGCATTCTGATCTATCCTTGTCGTGTTCATAGGAGAAAACCATTTGTTAGAGAACAGCCTATGGAAGTGGATATCAAAATACTTGAGATATTTTCAAGTGACTTCTGGTCCACAAAGTAAAGGTTAGCACTTTCCCACCCGTCCTGCTACTGAGAGCCAAGTTTGTCTCATGATAGTCAACATTTATATATCACTCTCATTGCTGGAATTTAATGTAATGAAAAAACTCGATGTAATGTGTTGGTTTATTTTGTGTGCAGTAAAGGGTGACCAGGCTTAAGACCATGAACTCACTGCACTCGAGACCCTGGTTTTATTCACAGGCACTGGCCTGGATTCTAATCCAGCTTAGAGGTTTGTCCTCTAAGAGCCACACGGCCACCACATTTCATTTATTTAAACGGGGTTCACATACTCACCATTCCATCGTGATGGAGAGCTTTTACCTGAGCTTTACAATTCACAGTGTTCTGTGAGCCTGGTTTCATTACAGATTCATAATTTCTCTCCACAAGAAACAGAATATTCTTGGTTCTTTCGGGAAAGTCACATAGATGGGAAATAATAAAAATATAAAACAATAAAAATTCTCACGTTTCGACTGCAACACAAGCAATCATCATCAGGTGTGAAATCCACAGCAAGAAAATTTGAAAAAAAAAATTCTTGCTGTGGATTTCACACCTGATGATGATTGCTTGTGTTGCAGTCGAAACGTCGTGAGAATTTTTATTGTTTTATATTTTTATTATTTCCCTTCTATGTGACTTTACCGAAAGAACCAATAATATGAATCCCTGCAGTCACGAAAGCTTTAAATCAAAAAGAAACAGAATGGTAACATAATACATTTCAGAGTTGAAAAACCGCTATTTCTTTTTACCATGCCGAAGCGCCCAGGGTAAAAACCGGTGAATGTTTAAAACTACTTTGCTATTCGTTCCCCTGAGTGCTCATTATCCTTCTACATTTCTTGACATTTTGTCAAATGTTCATCACCTAATGCACTTACGTATTTTACATCACCACGATATCTCTCAATGTTCCTAAAGCCAAGTGTTGCTATTATTAACGTATGCAATATTTATATCAAGTAAATAAAAACAATGCATGCAATTGAAAGTCTTTATTGGCAGTAAAATGCGTGTAAATAAAAAAACAACAGTATTCACATTAAGTGGTGATTGTATTTTAATTGCACTGTGCACACATAATTATCTATATAACAAATTTAAAAAAATAAACATTTAAAAAAGTTAGAATTGGGCCATGCGACCAAAAAATGTAACGTGGAAGATGACCGCATTGCGGAATGTTTCCCTGAATATTGTAGCATGCAGCTACTTAATCTGTATTTGGACATGGGAGAGATGGGCTGTGGTGGGTCATGAGGACTGGAGTTGGGATACCCTGTGCTAATGTGTCATATGCTTAACAAGTACCCTATCATCCCATCAGCGATCCCACCTCTGAAGTTGCGGGAATCCCCATCCCAGATTATCGGAGGCCTACGGTAAGGCGCATCCGAGCATCGCGTGTGTGACGTGGTTGCTCGCCGTGTATGTGGAGGTCCAAAGATACATTTCTCAAAACTCCTCTTTGCGTTCCCTCCACTCCAGCAACCAACATCTTGTCTCAAAACCGGCAACGAGGATCAGCGGTGTGGAGACAAGACGGGCAAAGATAATTCTGTTTGGGATTTTAACTCAATAACTTCTCTGAACTCACTGCTCTGCTTATTCAACTATCTCCCCGGCATGGGTTGTATGTATCCATGAAGTTCCATTTTAGTCTGCAGGCTTCAATTCAAATGAATGTGTGCAAGAAAATCAGAGCTGCATCGATTTTCACATTGTGGAAGCCACAAAGGGCCACTTTGATAGCATGCACAACCCGCTGGAATTGGAAATGTGAATGCTCGTGGCTAGTGTGACAACAAGTGCGGAAGTTGGTTAAAACTCGCTAAGGGTGTTCGCCTGCCCACATATTCCCTCTTCGCGATCCTTACTGGCGTCGTTTCCTGCGGCAATGCTGTGGGATCCTCCGTCTTAATCCGTGGCTCCACTTTAAAATACTTTTCAATCTGCACAGACATGGGCGAGAAAATGAAACGGATTAATGTACAGGATTGTTCTACGGATATTACTGCAAAACAACAATCGTAATAATTTACATGCCTTTTGTCAATTCACTGCTCGGCAAAGGCATCCCCATGCCATGTCAGGGTCATGGGGAGATGTTCCACCATACTTCACCATGCTGACCAGTGTGGGTAGGTGAAGTGGAGCGGCTATGACTGGTTGAGATGTCACTTGTTACTCTAACTCAAGTCGCAGGTTCAAAGCACGGTCTGCCAACCACTGTGCCATCGTTCCACCAAAAGTAAGGAAAAGCTTTTAAAAGTATGAACCTTGGTAACATCAAGTAAAAATACACAAATATGAACTTACGTCAAGCTCACTTGGAATGGACAGCTGCTGAGGCCTTTGCTTCCAAGTGTCTACGCTCTGCAAGTAAAACCAAACAAAACAAGTTTCATGACACCAAAAGGAAATGCCCTATTTGAGATAACCATCATCTCGAAATAGCTAACTAATGAAAGTCATAGCTTTCCATACATTTTAAAGCAATGTTTTTGAATGGAGTATGACCAGGAATGAGGAAACAGGACAGGACTGCATTGATATAATGTAAAGCAGAGGTGCTTTAAGGTACTTGATACTTTGATGTAATATCATGGGCGTAAATTGAAAGTTATCGATTCTTTCAATTGTGGTTTAATACAAGCATGATGCATGGAATTGATCATCTTAAAAAAAGATTGTTTAATTATTCAACATGTAAGTAATCATGAATACTAAAGATGTATACTAATTTAAATTCTACGTATGCCACAATAAGTGTTGAACTGTGATTTAAATCATGACCCTGAATCCTAACTCGTAATAGAATCGTGTAAGGGTGATTTGTGCATGTGCATAAAGGAGTAAGGAAGAATGGAAAGTGAACACAGATTACAAATCAGTGGAAGTGGCTAACATCTAAAGTGGGATCAGTGGGGGTTCAAGTAGAGAGACAGAAAGCAGGGATGGTGAGTGTAGAACTGTACTGATCCCGAACACACATTACAAATCAGTGGAAGTGGCTAACAGTGAAAGTGGGATCAGTGGGGGTATGAGTGAAGAGAAAGACAAGGCAGGGATGGCGAGTGGTCACGATGCAGTGGCTACGATAGTGGAAACGGTAATCAGTGAGAATGAGATCAGTGGGGTGTGGTGTAGAGAGAGAGAGAGAGAAGGCAATGAACGGGGAGCGGAGGACCGTGCTGGATCGTGAGAGCTTCAGCTCGACGGGCGGGGGTGCTGGTGGGCGCCGCTCTCTCCTGCGGCTCAGGTAGGTGTGCAGGCGCAGCTCCGGAGGTGGTGCTAGCGAGGCAGCCTCCTGCTGCCGCATCATGGCCGGCCACGCGTGCCGCTTCACGCACCTGCGCTCGCGGACGGGACAGAGGTGGGTAAGCAGCGCATTCGGCTCCTGTTAAACTTCCCCCACACCCCCGATTAGCATGGTTGGCTTCGTATGGTGCGAAAGAAGTTCAACATACACACATATGTACTGTACACAGATGCGGATCGTACGAAACTGTTGCATTAATGTGTGTGAGCACCAAGTGGCGCCCTTTGAGACTTGCACAAATGTACATCTGGTGAGTAACAAGAAAACCCGTAAAAACAAAGTTTTTCACTATAAATCCTTTATATGCGTGGCGGCTAGAGTCTTCTCGTCCTCTGGCTTGAGATGGCTGCCACCTATGGGTCAGATGATTGTCTGCCAGTATTAAGCAATTGGTAATTAAATATTTAATTTGTTTTCCCTAAACAGTGTAAAATTTTTGAAATTTTTTTTCACGAACATTAATTGTCTCGCACAACGAGGCTGTGTGCAAAATGTCAGCTCGATTGGATCACGGGAAGTGGGTTATAAAATAGACCGAAAGATTTGCACGGTCGTAAGCAAGCAAGCAAACACGCAAGCGAACTTAATATAAAGGATTTAAATAACCCTGCCCCGTATTTTACGGGGTTTCCTGGGAGGCCCTAAGAATTTTAAATAAAATTTTGGAAATAAAAACTGAAAATTTTACACCAGAAGCCAAATATGGAAATGTGCACAGCAACGCCAATTTGCTTTAAGCTGCATCTCCATGCTGCGCAGAAACGGTCCAGGGAGTCCCATTTTAGTACTGTACAGCAACTACTATAGCTCTGAATTGTGCATTACATTCACAACGTGATTTTCGGTGGTTTCAGCAGTCGCTTTTTTAATCCCTCTTCACATTTTCATAATGTAAAAAAGCATTACAAGCTGCCAGTGGGCTGAAAGGAAATAACGAGGTTTTGTGAACAAAATATACCAGGGTACCTCACCCCTCAATTAGCCAGGTGCTTCAAGGATGTACTCTATGCACACTAGCAGTATTCCATTTGGCAAACAGCCAAGAACTGTACAACACCGCAGGCTAGGTTTGTTAATTGGTACAATTTGTGTTTGTGAGGCATACAGATAATTACATGTAATTTGTGCATGGGAGCCAGAAACTGGCATTGCCATAGGTGCAAAAAAAAAAGCTTGCATAGTGTAATCACCAATATATTCTCTTTCAAACTAATTATAATACATGAACCACATGTGATACACGCAATTCTGTAGTTGCTCCATTTTTAAATCCTTTATATTAAGTTCACTTGCTTGCTTGCTTAGGACCGTGCAAATCTTTCGGTCGTTTTTTAACCCACTTCCCGTGATCCAATCGAGCTGACATTTTTCACAGACTCATTAAGCGTGACAATTAATGTTCGTGAAAATTTTTTCCCAAAATGTTACGCTTTTTAGGACAAAAATATTATATTTAATTACCAATTGCTTAATGCTGCCATGCAATCATCTGACCCATAGGTGGCAGCCATCTCAAGCCAGAGGACGAGAGGACTCTAGCCGCCACGCATATAAAGGATTTATAGTGAAAAACTTTGTTTTTACGGGTTATACTTGTTTTTTATGGTATCAAATCCTGTTTTTACCAAGTGTCTATGTGTTAGTGTAAATACTCCCTCTACATATGACTTACAACTAAAATTGGGACAATCAAGTCAATTGGCTGAAAATTGTAATAAGTTACTCCGGCCATTTAAAAAATTGCGACTGCCCCACTTGCTGCCTCCCAAAGGGAGGAAACCCTCAACCAGCCTCCAGCAAACCACGCTCTGTGTGACACTCCTGATGCCAATGACACCAAGCGTCAAGTGACACACATGGGAGGAGGAGGACTGTTCCCTCCCCCAACAATGTTCGTGTTATCCAATTGTGTAATGGAACTGATAATCAGCAGAGTAAACCAATTTCTTAAATAATAAAATCGGATAGCCGAGCTCGACTCACAACGACCCGTATAATCAGGGTTTTCAACTACATCTTGATGTACAACCAACACAGGGGGTAAACAGTCAGGGGGGGCTGCTGTGGGATGTCACACTACCGTCGGATGGGCGGTGTGCTGAGCTGTTGCCGGTGGTGTAACAATCGGTTGGCGACGCACGTCACCGTCACAGACGGGTCAAGGCACAGCGGCTCCGTGACGGCCAGCAGCACGTGACTTTCCAGCGACAGCTTGTCGTCCTGCAGTGTCGAACATATAGATACAAAGATCCCCCATGTACCCATACAGACTGTTGGTGCAGGTGGGGTTATGAAGGTTGGCATGGCGCACGAGGGTGTGATGTGACAAGCACCACGCCCAGCCGCCTTTGTTTCCTGATGTCACCAATTTTGGCCGTGAGCAGGACTCGAACTTAAGTCACCAGATTCACAGCGCTAATCACTGCATTATTGCTCCATGTCATAAGCAAACACACAATTAAACACGCACAAACATAACATGCCGCATACTTTCTGGAGGTGCTCTGCCATCCCAAAGGTTGGCATTCATCACAATTCAAACACAATAGCTCCCAATGTGAATGCGGTCTCAACTGCAGTCTGGGATGATTTACAAACCTGAGTCCACTTGTGACTGTCGCTTGTTATGGCATTGATGTCACAGATCAGGGTCTGAAAATAACATCGAGACTATTAGTGAAGAAATCAAACTTTGTTAGTGGGCACAAAATGTTTAGTTGAAGTGTATCGCCGAGATTTCTGAAGGTACTAAAAAAAATGTCCCTCCACATGTAAAATACGAATTGTCACGGGATTCAATGAAGCCTACCTTGATGAATAAATAACATTCTAATACTCATCCACTTTTACCTGTGTGGTAGGCTTGAGCAGAACATGCTTTGTGTCAGGCATATGCCCCTTCATGTTGTTGCATTGCCTGTAGTCCCGGATTTCGGCAATCACGCACCCACTGTGGAATATGTTCACCTGCGAAAGGCAACAGTCATCATCACTCAGTCTACTCACTGCTCCGTGAAGGCTCTCCATATAATGCACTGTCGTTTCTAATCTGCATTCACCAATGCAATACAATTTAAATCTATAGAGCATTTAAACGTAACCACATCAAAGGTACGAGTTAGAGCCCTGCAAATGCTTGCTCGCGCCGATGGTGGCAGAAGGGCTTCTACTAGACGGAGTTCTAAAGGGCTCCCCCCTCTAGAGGGTATTTGTTTTTTACTCTTCCATACTGGCCAGACATTGTAGAAGATGTGGAATTACCCATGCTTCATCTCACCACATGCACCCTCCCAATCGATTTCGAAGCTAAATACATCTAAATTGTATCGTATCATTGCACTGTTTACTGGTCCTATAAGAGTGATAGAGATGTAGGAAGCCACCTTTGACAGGCCTGATGCTGTATACATGACAATATTTTAGAGGCTGCCACACCTGCGCCTTCTCCAGAAGGTCCACCAGCACGGGGGGCAGCTCCCCCGCATCCAAGTACTCCAGAAGCTCGCCCTCCTCGTAGGGAAGCCGTATCGTCTCAGAGTCTACACGAGCACACACAAAACAAAAAGATGCCTCCTGTTAGCTTCGCCGACTCGAAGCATATGCTCTCTAAATATCTCTTTTCCACCGACACATCCGAGTCATGCCAGCATTGGTCCCTAACAGAATGGTAGGTTTAACACTGATCGTTTTCCTAGCCGAGTCAGGACAAAACCGCAACAAGATGGCCTCATGATTTGGTTTCAGGAAATAATGAGATGCTGGGTACCAGCTCCATTCTTGCCACGGAGCAGCAGCGAGTAGCCTTCGTTGCCTGGGTATAGGTTCACCACCAGGCACGACGGCCGCTCCTGATTCACAACTTTCTCCAATAGCTTCACATTCCGCCGCAGCCTCTGTACACACAAACACCGCACAGGGCGACACAAGTCAGTGAGCGGCTCGGGACCCAACATGTCCTGATCAGGAATGTGACTGTTTGAAAAGCAGCCAGGTTACAGACATACAAGACAAGCACTAATTCTATATTTGCACACGTACATTCCTTTTGTCAATTAACTGCTTGATGACAGACACCTACACCATACAGGTTGATATTTTACCATGCTTCTCAGTGCAGGTTGGCAAGGATGGACATTGATTAGGGCCCACCATCCGCAGGACGAAGGGTGAGGGGCGGGTGCGATGCCAGTATAGCAGGGAGAGAGATGGTCTCACACAGACTACTGGACCTTGGCGATGGACACGAGCCATTGGGACGTGGAATGTCACGTCACTAGGGGGGGAAGGAGCCAGAGCTGGTGGAGGAGGTGGAAAGGTAGCTACTAAATATAGTCGGTCTCACCTCCACACACAGCATTGGCACGGGAACCAAACTTCTCGATCGGGGGTGGTCTCTCTCCTATTCCAGAGTAACCCCTAGTGAGAGGCCCTGGGTGGGTGTGGGGATACTCACAAACCCCCGGCTGGGTGCTGGATACCTGGAGAGACGTGATTGGGAGGAATGCCTCCCCCTGATCTGAACCCGAACGATGAGATGTTATTGAAATTCTGCACTAGTTCCAGAATGTGAATAACAAACACCATGTCCGAACACAAGGATGCTCATAAGTATACTTGGTACCAGCGCACCTTGGGCTGAAGGTCAATGATTGACTTTATAGTTGTATTATCGGACCTAAGGCCGTATTTGAGAATAGGTTTTCCCCTTTTTTTTGGCAACAAAACAAGACGCCAAAAGGCTGTTTGGCGTCTTCTGGTCTAACACCGTTTGAGACTAGGCTCGAAAGAAAGCTGTCTCTGGTGTGGACCAATCAGTTTCAAAGACAATGCATATATTATCAGAGTATGTTTTTTATTTGTATTCTGACCACAAATATTGTGGTTAATCCAGTCATGATTCCTTGTAAAAGGTTTCAGTTTTGTGTTTTAACATCTTACCACCTGTTTTGTTGCCAGAAAAAGGGGAAAACATATTCTCATACTTTGGTACTGGCTAAGGAGGTCCCATGATCTAAGGCCGTATTGTTCTGGACACTCGGGTGAAGGAACTAGACCGGACACGTCCCACTGGGGGAAGACCCCAGGGCCAGCCCAGGACACGCTGGCGGCACTATGTTGCTCGGCTGGCCTGGGAACACCTGGGAATTCCCCAGGAAGAGCTAGAGTCTGTCGGCAGGCAAAGGGAGATCTGGACCGCCGTACTGAACATGCTGCCGCCGCGACCCTCACCAGGACAAGTGGACTGAGAAATGAACGAACAAGCCATAATGGATTTTTGCTGATGCCTACCACATAGCCCCAAAGCCTATAACAACCTGTTCTCTACCGAGTGGTAACTTATCCAAGAACTATCCAGTATCCAGGATTGATCCTGTTCATCTTTTTTGGCTCATACCAGGTGATTTGGTCATAGCAGATTCAACTGGTTTATTTCATCTCCTGGTTAAATAAATGGTGCAAACAAGACTACTGGAATTGCTAAATAGGTGTTTTACAAAGCTACACGTGTTGGGTGTTGATTTAAAAAAAAATTACTTTACCTTTAGCTCAGGTTCTCTTTCACTTTCCTCAATGTATGTGTCATACATCTTCTGATGGAGAGATTTCCTATTCAACAAAACACCATGTGTTACAAATTTCAATCTGAAGTTTAGGTAGCTGGTAGTATAAATACGTATTCAACAGCACATCTGTGAACATTTAGAGGAAACAGCAGCTTCTTCTAAATAGATAAAAATGTATCTCGCAACAATAACCACATCAAATTTTCTGCAGGGTCAAAATCACCAACTACTCTTACTAATCCCAATAAATCTGGCTAAAATGGCAGTACTGAACTCAAACCTGCTTAATTTGGAAGCCGGTTACGTACAAGTGATGGGAACAACATTTTAGTGCTAAATCCAGTTTGCCCTCAAGAAAACATTGGGTGGATATTCCACGTATCTCGAAAAAAGATGGGCGGATATTCCACGTGTCTCAAGAAAACATGGGTGGATATTCCACGTGTCTCAAGAAAACATTGGGTGGATATTCCACGTGTCTCAAGAAAACATGGGTGGATATTCCACGTGTCTCAAGAAAACATGGGTGGATATTCCACGTGTCTCAAGAAAACATTGGGTGGATATTCCACGTGTCTCAAGAAAACATTGGGTGGATATTCCACGTGTCTCAAGAAAACATTGGGTGGATATTCCACGTGTCTCAAGAAAACATTGGGTGGATATTCCACGTGTCTCAAGAAAACATTGGGTGGATATTCCACGTGTCTCAAGAAAACATTGGGTGGATATTCCACGTGTCTCAAGAAAACATGGGTGGATATTCCACGTGTCTCAAGTGGCAAGGGTTAGGGGGCATTTGGAGGTACCCCTATCAATTTAAAACCGGCCAAAACATTTAAATATTGCTCCTCTTGAAGCTGTTAATATTGTGCAAAGCGATGACAACTTGTTGTTAGCCACATCTCCACACTGCACAGAAGCGTCATGTGCCAGGCAATCTCCGTCTCAAATGTGTAGTAATAACTGAAGCATTGGATTGTTCATGCCAGATATGGCTTGTGATTTTTGTTGGTTTTTTTTATCATTCTTTGTTATTTTAAAAAATGTATTTTTTTAAAGTACAAGAAAAGGTATATTTTGGGGGCACCCCACCCCTGAATGAATCTGGTATATTGAGGACACACTGTAACACAACTTATAAAATGCAAGAGAGCTCACCATTTTGCTGCCGAAGCTGCAGTGGTTTTTCTCCTGGGTGGTCGCTGGCGAGAACATTCTATTATGTACTGAAATAAAATATAAACAAGAATAAATTCACATATGTATATTTATAAAATGCTGAATGTTTATAATGGCTTAAAGAGTGTCAGAAGGGTGTTGCTTTTTTGTATTCTCTTTACAATATACACACCTCTGCACGGTCCAGTGCGTATTCAAGTGCTTTGGCCTGATTAACCTGCATCAGAAAATCATGAAAGATGTAGGTATCATGAGGCCCTGATAGAGCATCAGCATTGCAAATTAAAACACAATGACCATATATTTACAGAACTTACAAAAATCAAGATGTATCGTTTCATATAGAGGCGAAGTTAACTTTGGATATGCTCAATAATGCAAATATCTGATTATAAAGGCAACTTTGACCTTTTATAAATGGTTTTGGTAAGAAAGACCATTATAGTAAAATAAGGGTGGGTTCGATCAGTTAGACCAGAAGGCTCTTGAGAAACTTGGCTGTTGAGATCCATTTACACACATAATTGGTAGAGTTGGGGCCTGATACAAATTTGATGCATCCACAAAATGTCCGGATGCTAGAGGACTCACGAACAGTTACTTGCAAACGTCCCTGTTTTAGTTCACTTTCTGCACACGGGCAAATTAAAACTGGAAAAGCAACTATGACGATAGCAGAGATGCCTGGAGGTAGTAGCATTTGTTGTGCACATGTCGTTCAAGTGACAAACTTATAAAAAAAAATGCTGACAAACCAATTTATTCAAAGAGCTCTTTTTTGTTTAGATTTTTCCCAAGTCAGCCATGTGCAAAACCTACACAGATCTGGACATTGGTATGCCGTGTGGTAATTTTCATAATGGTTTTCGGGGTTTTGAAGATTTTGTGTCGTCGTTGGGATGGGTGGACATATCATTTCTATTGTCACGGCAAAAAGTAGCCTATCGGTTTGCCTAACTAGAACTGTAACAGCAATATAACATTGCATATATCTAAAAACGGATTCCTGCGGTATAATACGCACCATCTTAAACGGTGAGGCCCTCACACCCCTCACCCCAGCAAGGGGTCAGGGTGCACCGATTCCTGGATAGAACACAGCCATGCACGACATTAACATGGTCCAATATATCATTCAGCGAATCTTACAATGAAACTGTGCAATGGACTTCGTGACATATTATAAGTGAAGTATAGATGTCATTGATATATTCTTAACATTACATAACTACACAAACGCATAAACCACATGAAATACTTAGAGATGCATGCATAGCACAGAATACACCTCAACATTATAGATGAAAATGTGTAGATGCACACAAGATAAAAAAAAACCTGATTAAAATACTTAACAGCTTTCTTCAATAAAAACACAGAAGTAAAATACAACGTAACATATAACGCGCACTGTCCAATGCAAAACGTTGACAAAAGCAGGATCGTTTTTGAAAGAAATATTGTATTTAGACCCACAAAGGCTTTACCTGGATACATGACAATACAGTACAGTTCTGTAATGCGATAATTCCATAACCCGTCTTCGAAGCATACAGATTACTGCCTCAACTCCGAGCTCGCATGCTATTGTTTACGGCTCAATCATAAAGATGTCAACGACGCCTCGGCATTTTCACTTCGCTCTTTTTACGTCGTCTGCCAGAGATTAGTACTCGGCTCAACGAGCAAAAGCATCGCTTGCCGTTTTAAGATTCAAGTTGCTTCCCGCGCAAGTTTGAGCGCGAGTCGGGTGCCCATCTCCTGTAAACGCAGAAGCTCCCTAAGCAACCACGGCACTTCCATGTTACCAAGACGAGAGCGGGTACATCCACGAAACGCATCATTTCATACATCGGTGTTTATGAACTACACGACGGCGCATGCACATCATTAGCGCTTACCAACACACACGCACGCAAACACACACACGCGTATATTATCGATTACGTTGATTTATTTAAACAAAACAAACAAAAAATGTTGGGTCATCGGTATCACACAATCAGAGCCCGCGGCGTCCCTCTCGAGCAACAGGCCACGGGCTCAAGCGGACCACCACCACCGCCTGCACCACAGCGATCATCGTCGAACACACGTCTCGCTAGCAACCATCGTGCAAGGCTGATATAATCGTGACGAGGAGGAGGAAGATGATGATGAAGAGGAGAAGGCCGCTACTAACCTCTCGCTGGCGCCAACGCCGCCGCCGCCGCCATCGCTCCTCCCCCTGCCGCCACCGAGGGGGCGGAGCCAACGTGGGTCCGGTCGGCACTTTGCTCCGGGGGCGAAACCAACAGCTCGCGCCGCGCATGCGCGGGAGTGAGCGAGAGGGAAAAAAGGTTCCGGCCCACGTGGGATTTTTGTTGTTGAAGTTTTTGTTCCGATTGGTGTCAACCCACGCGGTTTATATCCCGTACGCATGTACAGGGAAATTGGGTTTTAATACGTGCATAAAAACGTGTTTGTCTATTTGTTTGTGTTTCTCCCTGGTGTTGGGGCTTTGTAGGATGAACGTTGAGATTTATAAGAGTCACGGGGTGACCGATACGGTCTGAATTGGTCTGTAATAAGGTAGGGCACTAATAGGGGTTTTCCCCTTTTTTCTGGCAACAAAACTGACACCTTTTGCAAGGAATCATGCTTACATTAACCACAATACCTGCAGTCAAATGCAGGTATTGTGCATTTGACTGCAGGTATTGTGGTTAATGTAAGCATGATTCCTTGCAAAAGGTGTCAGTGTTGTTGCCAGAAAAAAGGGGAAAAACCCTATTAGTATATTTTGGTACTGGCAAAGGAGATCCCATGAAGGTAGGGCACTGATAAGGGGTTGACTGGTATGTTCCTAACAAGTTACAATTCTCCAAACTCTTGTGATGTAATCCACTCTATCGCTCCGGTGTCTCTATGTATGGGCGATGATTGAGTGACATTGCCGATTCTATATATATGCTTGTTTTGTCTTTAAGGGTAGTTATGTTATCGACGAATGAGTCGAGTTTTCGTTTATTTTCTTGGTTCTTTCGGTAAAGTCACGTAGAAGGGAAGTAATAAAATAATACAAATAAAACATAATAAAATAATTCTCACGACGTTTCGGCCACAACGCAAGCAGCCGTCCTCAGGTGAAGAATTCTTCATACACAACAACGCAAGCAGCCGTCCTCAATCTTTAAATCGAAATTTTCGTTTATTGTGGGTGTGAACCGCTGCCAACGCAGCAGCTGCATCACAAAACAATCTGCTGTCTGTGTTTGATTTACGTTGCATGATTTGCATAATCACCATCAATCATGATTGATCCACTATTGGATGCAGATCCTGTTGTAATTTGAATATTAAGGGGTAATATGTTGGTAAACCAACATCGGTGTGTTTTGTTTTAAACCCGATTGAAGAGCTTATTGGCTCAGGGTAATTCAAAATAAACCGACTGAACTGATATTCTTGTGAAATCCACACCTGATGATGATTGCTTGTGTTGCAGTCGAAACGTCGTGAGAATTTTTATTGTTTTACATTTTTATTTTATTATTTCCCATCTACATGACTTTACCGAAATAACCAAGAATATGAATCCCTGCAGTCACGAAAGCTTTAAATCCAAATTTGAACTGAATTTGTAATTAATTTATGTTTGCTAGATGAATCGTTTTTTTTTAAAAGGGGACTAGAGTATTTCACTTTGTGATTGTGAGCAACCCTACCATTTTATTCTATTTATTATTATTTATTTTTATTACCTACGTGACTTTACCGAAAAAACCTAAGAGTATGAACCCTCTTGGTTCTTTCGGTAAAGTCACGTAGAAGGGAAATAATAAAATAAAAATAAAACAATAAAATAAAATAATTCTCACGACGTTTCGGCTACAACGCAAGCAGCTGTCCTCAGGTGAAGAATGAAACACCACCAAGCTTGGAGCGTATATTTAAGCTGGGTTGGAGGGGGAAGAAGTATGAACCCTACCATTCTCTATTTTTGCAATCATCGATGCTCACCGTCGCGAATGACCAAATGCACGCTTGGATAAAAGCCTCCCCCAAGGTGGCGCTCTATCCACCTGGCACCTGTACACGAGATTATTTTCTCGTTCCATCTCCACGGTGGACTTGCCCCTTTGGGAATATTCCATCCCTTGGCTGCCACTACGTAATCATGCGTGACACACCAGCCACCGCTCCATCTCGCAAGGTGTCCTGGCTGCCTGTCCCCACTTTTGTTTGACAGTTCTTTGGCAGAGAATCAGAACGTGGTTTTATACTGGAGGAATCCGATGAGCTATGAAGCTCTTTGTTCACAGATGTCCAGAATTTTCACAGGCGTAGATACGCAATTGACTATAATCACTACTCAGGCGAAACCAGAGGAATGTGAAGCTCTAGCTCGCAAAACCCCCATGCAAAAAATAACAACACATTAGCCCGGGGAGATGAGAAAGTAAAGGTTTCTAATTCTGAAATGGAACTTCGCCGATATGGCATCGAGATAATTTAGATTATTTTGGTGCTATGAATGTCCAAATGATGGCCCACTTTGTTGAGCTATTATTTGTGCTCAGGTCGCTTCTGAACACATTCCTGCGGAGGGAGCTGGTAGGAACGTCGGGTTGCTCGGCCAATGGCCAGGGTCAACGGCGGCGTGGTGTATTCCGCAAATATGCCCGACTGTGAGGGCGGGCACAAGCCGGCGTGAGTAGGTTAAACGTTGAGTTTTATAAGGGCACCACGGGGTGACCAGCCCCTCCCCACCCAGCCCCACCCCTCCCACCCCCCACCCAGCCCCTCCCCTCCCCAACCTCCCCACCCAGCCCCTCCCCACCCTCCCCTCTCCACCCAGCCCCACCCCTCCCCAACCTCCCCACCCAGCCCCTCCCCACCCTCCCCTCTCCACCCAGCCCCACCCCTCTCATTTTTGGATGCACGACGGACGGACGGACAGACACAATAATCCCCTGTGGGCTGGTGTAACCAGTGGGTTCCTACCAGTAATACATATTCTGATTCTGGGTGGGAGAGGTGGGGAGCGGAAGGGGAGGAGGCTAAGGTGGGGTAAAGGAGGGGAGGGGGGTAAATGGGGGAGGGAGGTGAAGTAAAGGGGTGAGGGGGGGGCAAAGGGGGAGCAAATGTGGGAGGGGGGTAAAAAGGGATGGGGGGTAAAGGGGAGAGGGGGGTAAAGAGGGAGGGGCGCAAAGGTGGGAAGGGGTAAAGAGGGGTGGGGGTGGGGTAAAGGGGGGAGAAGGGGTAAAGGGGGGGGGTAAAGTAAAGGTGGGTGGGGGGGTAAAGAGGGTAGGGGGGTAAAGGGGGGAGGGGGTAAAGGGGGAGGGGGGCAAAGGTGGGAGGGGGGTAAAGAGGGGTGGGGGGTAAAGAGGGGGGGGGGGGTTAACGGTTGGCAAGAGCCCCGTGTCACGTGACAGGCGCCAGTTGGAGTCAGGCGCTGGCAGCAAGCGGTAAGTCTCCGCGTTAAAGTTCAAGGTTCTGTATCTAAAGTCGTGTTATTTATTAATTTGGCTATTAAGATTTATGTTGCTTTAACATTGTGTTATCTACGTGTTAGGATAGTTCAGCCCATCCGGGTCTTGCTTCAAGTTGTGTCTGGAATCTACTCAATTTGTCGTCAAACGCGTGTAGGGATGGGACACTGAATGAAAAACATTGAGAAATCGAACAAAATCAAACACTCCACGTGTTTAATGATGCCATTAATGAACACGAAACGATAGGAACGAAGAGATTGATGCTTTCGATGTTTTATTTTACTTTTCAGGATACATCGTAGCAAAATAACTCGTCATAATATTGTAGAAAAAAAAACAAGCGTATGGATGGTGTTGTAGGGTGAACATTCACCCACTAACGAACATTATCTACTTCACATATTCACTATAACCACAACTGCAGCTGTATATACACGATATATAGCGATTATTGTAATTAAAGAGCTGAAGCAAGAGGCCACGTGGCCGATGGACAGCGGGGGAGTATTTCCTATATTTTATGACGATTTTTCGTTAGGAAAAAGCAACATTGATAGCGAAATATCGATGAAGTCACGTAGAAATAAAATAAATTAAATAATAGAATTCCACGTTTCGATTGCAAAACAAGCAACCGTCATCAGGTAGAACTAAAGTTTCAAAATATCGATGTTTAAGTGTTACCAAGGATTCCACATCGATGTTTTTATATCGATGTTTATAGAGCCAGAACATTGATGTGACAGAACCAGAACATTTATTTCATTCGCAAAACTATCGGGTGAAGATTAAAACTAGATTAGATTAAAATTAATTGCCAAGTTAACTGTGCCCTGTACCCTTACATTTCATGGTTAAACAACCCACATTGGCTACGCACGGCGTGAAATAAGTTCAACATAGTACACATGCATACACGATTGATAAATACAATTTAAATTGATCGATCAATGTCTATAAAGTATTTAACGCAAACTGACAGATTTCACAACTGCGTCGCCATTAAACATTTTCCCGCCAATACTGAGGGCGTGACGTAACACGTAAACGCGCCAATCACACGTCAGGTGAGGGGGAGGGGTCTGGTGGGGGGGGGTCTGGTGGGGGGGAAGGAGGTCTGGTGGGGGGTGGGAGGAGGTCTGGTGGGGGGTGGGAGGGGGTCTGGTGGGGGGGGGGTCTGGTGAGGGGGCAGGAGGTCTGGTGGGGGGTGGGAGGAGGTCTGGTGGGGGGTGGGAGGGGGTCTGGTGGGGGGGGGTCTGGTGAGGGGGCAGGAGGTCTGGTGGGGGGTGGGAGGAGGTCTGGTGGGGGGGGGGGTCTGGTGAGGGAGGAGGAGGTCTGTTGGGGGGTGGGAGGAGGTCTGGTGGGGGGGGGTCTGGTAAGGGGGCAGGAGGTCTGGTGGGGGGTGGGAGGAGATCTGGTGGGGGGGGGGGGGGTCTGGTGAGCGGGCAGGACGTCTGGTGGGGAGTGGGAGGAGGTCTGGTGGGGGGTCTGGTGAGGGGGAAGGAGGTCTGGTGAGGGGTGGGAGGAGGTCTGGTGAGGGGTGGGAGGAGGTCTGGTGGGGGGTGGGAGGAGGTCTGGTGGGGGGTTCTGGTGAGGGGGAAGGAGGTCTGGTGAGGGGTGGGAGGAGGTCTGGTGGGGGGTGGGAGGAGGTCTGGTGGGGGGGGGGGTCTGGTGAGGGGGCAGGAGGTCTGGTGGGGGGTGGGAGGAGGTCTGGTAAGGGGGGGTCTGGTGAGGGGGAAGGAGGTCTGGTGGGGGGTGGGAGGAGGTCTGGTAAGGGGGGGTCTGGTGAGGGGGAAGGAGGTCTGGTGGGGGGTGGGAGGAGGTCTGGTGGGGTGTCTGGTAGGGGGGTGAGATGAAGTCTGGTGGGGGGGAGTGGGAGGAAGTCTGGGGGGGGGGAGTTGGAGGAGGTCTGGTGGGGGGGTCTAGTAGGGGGTGTGGGATGAAGTCTGGTGGGGGGGAGTGGGAGGAAGTCTGGGGGGGGGGGTGGGAGGAAGTCTGGGGGGGGGGGAGGAGGTCTGGGGAAGGAGGTCTGGGGAAGGAGGTCTGGGGAAGGAGGTCTGGGGAAGGAGGTCTGGGGAAGGAGGTCTGGGGAAGGAGGTCTGGGGAAGGAGGTCTGGGGAAGGAGGTCTGGGGAAGGAGGTGGCATGGGTCACGTGATGAGGGAGAAGGGCGAGGCTCGTGGGTGGTCACGTGATACCTCGTGGAGCGGGCCACGTGTACGCGAGTGGTCGACGGTCGCGCTCCGAAACAAGCAACATCAGCAAAGTAATCATGTAAATGCCATTGTAAAAACGAATTGGTGATTATGTTTAATAGGAAGATGAACGAGGCGCAGGGCTCCCGTTACCGCAGCCGGGAGTGCGAGCAGATGGACGCGGGGCTCGCGGCGCTGGGCCTACACCGCGTGGCAGTGGCGAGGGACGCGTCTAGCGTGTACAGGGTTGTGGCGCAAGAGGTGACGCGTGCATTAGCGATGAGTAATCATACAAGATTATTAACTAGACTTGTTATTTTACTCATTTTCAGAGCGGGGTAAAGCCGACGAAAATTAAAGGGCTTTTGAAAAAGAGTTTTGACCATCATGGGACTTTTGCCAGTACCAGACTATGAGAATAGGTTTTCCCCCTTTCTCTGGCAACAAAACAGGTGTTAAGATGTTAAAACACCAAACTGAAACCTTTTACAAGGAATCATGTCTGCATTAACCACAATACTTGTGGTCAGAATGCAAACAAAAAACGTACTCTGATAATAGATGCATTGTCTTTGAAAGTGATTGGTCCACACCAGAGACAGCTTTCTTTGGAGCCTCGTCTCAAAAGGTGTTCGACCAGAAGCGTCCTCTGGTCTAACACCAATCAGTTTAAAAGACAATGCATATATTATATATTATCAGAGTAAAGTCACGTGGGTAGAAAAGTAAAATAAAAAATAATATATCACGACATTTCGATCGCAACACAAGCGGTCGTCCTCAGGCAGAAAAAATAATCTAGCAATGGAACTGCTGAACCAGACAATTTTTTTAAATCTCAATTTCCCTGTACAAGAATACGGGTAAACCGTATGGGTTGACAGGTATGCGTACGCCGTAATCAAGCAGTGGATTGATCATGGCTGATAATGATTGTACACATTCTTAAAGTGCCTCAACTTGCTGCAAGGGCTACATGTATAAACATTACTCAACTAGATGAAGTCATTTTTATTTTTTTTAAACATGAAAAACATTGTACTAATGCGTTTACAACATCAAGTGTTCTGATAAATACCAGTGGCAATTTCATCAAATGTTGCAGGATTATACTTTATTTCAGTATTTAAAGATTATTTTGTGAAGGAATGGTTGCGCATGTTGCTGTTGCGAAAGTGCAACTGCTGTATACGCAGGCTGTGTGTTTGATTTTGTTTCAGATATTCTACACGCAGTCTAAACATCGAGAAGTACGGAGAGAGTGTGCACAGTTTATCCAAGGCAACAGTGATTCACTCAAGAAGGTGCTCGTGTGATGATAACCTATGAGCACTTGTTACTTTATGGTAGATGCTACTTAAATATTACATCAAATCTTTAACTACATTTTATGTTTACCTACAGATTTCAAAAAGCCCCCTGAAATGTATCGTCAACAGTGTCCTAGATCCAAGAGTAAGTAAAATCATAAGGCAATTGCAGTTGTGTGTTCCAAGTCATGAAATGATGGTAAAGCTATGGGGTAGAATAAGGAGTTTTATTTATTTATTGTTGTTACATTTATTTTAACAAAACGCGTGCCCGTCGTCACAGCCCGGTCACGTAGCTCACAAATCCGGGAATCAAAAATCGCGGAGGACCGACCCCGATGCAACCGAGCCGTAAAAAGATAGGGGGGTTGGGGGTGGGTAAAAGGTGGGGAGAGGGACCCACTGTCCCAACTAAGTGAGGTCAACCACGTCGGCCAGAATAAGGAGCTTTGATATATTTGTTAACCCTGCAAGATAGAGAGTGCTGGCAAGCCAGGACTAAATGCGTTTTACGTTAAATAACAGTAAGGCATTATTTTCCGAACATAAGTAGATTGTAAAAAATGTAATCGGCATTTTAAACGACTCTACTTTGGTATGAGCTCAGTATGTAAACCGGTAATGTAAATTTTCGGATTTTTAAAATTATATATGCGGTTAATAAAAGGACCTTGATCACGTTTGAGCTTTCGTGTAGGTTGTTTAATGCAGAGTGGCTCATTATTAGTACGTTATATTGTGGTTATTGCCCACCCAATGGGTGATTCATTTGGTATGGTGAGGTTTATATTCAAATATGGTTAATTACCAGTATAACCATAATTTGAGTCTTGCACAACGGTGTGTCATATTTATTGTTTTCTATCAGATGCCAGCTGGCAATGTGGAGATGGCTGCCCTAGCCTTGTTGTACAGGTGAGAGAAAAGCGAACATACACTTCTGAGCAATTCCACCAACTTGCTGGAAAGGACACATTGTTACTTAATCATTGTAAATGCGTTAATATCCTTAGAGGTTTAACAAACTACCAAGGTCTTTTCCATGTCTCATTCAAACTGGATGTATGCATATGATTAACATAATGTGTTCTTTTCAGATGTGATTTTTTAATCTACAGAGAGCCAAACAAACCACCGTTCAAGGCTACTAGCAATGGATTTTCCAAGAAGGTGTTAATACATGTCAAATGTTTTTTGTATTATTAGCTACACTAGTTCATTAAGCATGTCTTCGTCTGCAAAAGTTTCAATGAATATAATAATGAACCTGATATGTTTTTTTACAATTTGTATCTACAATCAGACACAACTACTCAAAAAAATTGTATTTTTCCGCTAAAATATTTCAAGACGTACCCATCGGAAACCGCTCAATTCAAAGGTTTAGTTATTGTCTTATTAGAAAGAACACAAATAAACAAACTTAATACTGTATGAGGGGAAGCTCATAACTTTTACCGTTTTCGAATTATTCAGATGTGAACATCATAAAATGCGTATCTTCCAAAACCGCTTTAATACGAAATATCTCATGAACAATAAAAGATAGAACAATGGTTCTCGCTTTAATTGTATATACTGTTTAATGCTCTATCAAACGAAAAGAAACGCAATCTTATATTTTGAACGGTTTCTGAATGACATACAAACATGTCTGGGGCACTACAAAAAAAAATCGAGATTTGGGGGCCTTAAAAAGAAAAATTTCGGATTTTCTTATTTTCCTGTTTGTGTGCTTAAAGCTACTTATGTACCAAATTCCAGCTTTCTACCTTGTCGGGAAATATTCTCGAGGTTTATTAGACATGCATACAGATTAAGGTCTTTATAGTATAAGATTGTTTTGATTCGCACATACCAATAGAGTTTTGTCTGAAGTTTAGTGCGTAGACAATAAGTTATTGTGGAAAAATGTTGACAGAATGAAATAACATTTGAAATATAATGCACGTGTAGTGTGGCGATGAAAGTATTCCTTTATGCAAGGCTAAATAACCATTAAAAATGTTTATAGGACAGCATATTAAACAGTCACTGTAAATGTAACAAATGATTAGGTCTGGAGAATGTTAATAATGAAAAGTAATTAATGTGTATTTGGAGAAAGCAGATTAAGACTGCAGTAAAGATTCTGCTGATAATTTTATTTTGCATTCAGGTGATGCTGTGCCAACGCTATGAAGCGAAATATGATGCTGTCTGTTCCAAAAACACGTACACAGCTGCAGCTATTTGCCAGTGTAAGGAACTTTTCAACATGCACCATTCATTTTGACATTAATCACATTAAACGGAATGTCCTGCACAAAACTTGTGAACTATGGTAATGGTTGTTTTCACAAGTATTGTAATTACACTGCAAAATGATGTTACCTTCAAGTGGCATTTTTCTGCGTGTGGGACAGCGATTGTGTACAATCTTTTGTACACGCGCGTGTTTGGGGTGAGTCCGGATGTGGTGGCTCGTGAGGTGGAGTGGTTTCGCTTGCAGGAAGAGACTCAAGGTCGCCATAAGGAGATTCGGCATCCCACTACCTTGGCCCGTGATGGCAAGCCGTGAGTCTCCTAAGCATACAAAGTGACAGGCAGTTAATGCTACTATCATCAGTGTGTCCAATTCAAGTAAAGCATCATCTTCACAGATATGCTTGCAATAATAATGCATGTTCCAATGTATTTTTGTTTCAGATTGGTAGGATATTCATATGCTGAAAAGACTTCAAGAAAAATAATTAAAGCTGGCCAGGTATTTGTAATTTGTGAGAGAATTGAATATTGTGCCTGCATTGGGTTCTTTTGAGATCATGTTTATGCTGTAAAGCAAAGCGTTAAAGCCAAATTATCTTGATCTACCTTTATCCTCAATTCTAGGCTCACTTTCCAGAGTTTCCTTTCCGAGTGCTGAAATCGCTGGACTCAGAAATATATCGCAATGTGGAGTTTGATGTCTGGATTGATTCTGCAAGAGGTGTGTAAAGTTGGAATTTTATGTTTTTAATGGCAATAGTTAAATGTAGAGATCATGTTATAGCAAAATGTATGTGCTTTGTTAAACTTAGATGTTTTCTATTTATAGATTTATTAAGCATTGAACGTTTTATATATAGATATATAACAATAATTTAAAACTGATTCCTACATAACACATTTATATACTGGAGTAAAGTTTGCATGAACAATATTACTCACTTCGTTTTAAAGGTATGTGGTATAAAATAAGACACAAGAGGGTGCTGTCTGATCATAATATGCACTACCGCCTAATGTTTTAATGTTGCATCCTTTACTTGATCAAAATACAGTTTTCCAAGTGCATGTTTTATTTGCATACCTTTTTGTAGGCTACACAATGACAAGATTTCCAGTTTTGGAGTTTTCAGGGGGTGAAAAGTGCGAGGTATAATTTAATTGTAGAGCTCATTGTTTCAATGTTTCAGTCTGTTATCCAAATATTGGTCAGCGCCTTAGAAGTTGTAATATGGTTTCGACAATATTGCACTTCACGCACTCATAACACATTTAAAAAATTTCACTCGTTTTTTAATTGGCACATTTGCTCGCAAAACAACACTGCAAATTACGTCTTTATTTTTCAACAGTGAGCAGGGTAGATGTGTTTCCAGGCTTGAGTATACGTAATTGAAACCCTTAAAATTACCATGTATATCTGGGGGTGAACACCATGCATTTTATGTTGACAATTTAATTCAACCAACTGACCACAGTACTGAGCACATATCATTGCTCGTAAATCAATGAAGTGGCCACGATGGCATATACTCTATATTTTTTAAAACCTATGCTTTATTATAACGCATAGTACTCTGGCATTGTTGTTCAATGGAAATATTTGTGATGTGATTTAGAGATGGCAACATTGTGGGTGATTTCATCTGGTTGATGGATTGTGTTGTTGCTTACTGTGACCTCTGGATTTCTTTTGGTGTAGGTGCAGTTGAAGCCTGGAGGGAGGTATTTCAGTGCCTCCATCCAGAAAATCAACCCAAATTACCAAACTGTCACTGTGTTCATTAAAGCCCTTGCACAACGGTATTTTTCGCTGTAGATGGACAATTCTTTGTCATCAATAGCAAATAAAGCACTTTTTTACTGCATAGCAGCTGTCATGCATCACGTGATTTTACGTTAACTTTTAAAAGGAAGTTTACAATTACAAACATTCTTCTTAGGGTCTCTCGAGGCCAGAGCCATTTGGTGACATTAAAATGGAAACTTTGTCAATCCACCAAATGGAGCAACAGATGTTTCATGAGTGGAAAGTGTTTGGGGAATTTTGCAAAACATTTATAATTTAAACATATGGTAGTCAACCGTAAGGATTTTGTTCTGTATTTGATGTCCCATATAAAGTATACATACCGTGTTTAAATTACAATTTAAACGTGCAGGATTTGTGTTGTAATAATGCAGGAATGTTCAATGGACATGTGCAAGTGGTTAGGTTTGCTCTTTAGGGACAAATGTGTGGAGTGCTGTGGCGACGAGTGGGCTCAACATGAGCCCCCCGTGCAATTGCAGGCATCATGTTATGCTGGAGAGCGTTCGTGCCATGGGTTGCCAATCAGCTTCTGAAAGGATGATGGGCGTCCACGGTGCGCCATCCAGACAGCTTTTCGAGATGCCTATTCAGCACCGGAAGCATGGTGTGTCATATCGCACACTTCATACGAGGATCTGAAATTGAGGATGTGTCGTTTACTACGTGCATATTGTAATTTTTTTGGCTGACCAAGGTTGTATTCTTGATTCCTCTGCCTAAGTAGGCATATTCTTCCCCATATCCTGTCTAATGTTGGACTTACCTCTATATTTGGTGAAATGGCTTCTGTTTAGAACCTTCCTTTTCGCCCTCTTGGCCTTCTCAAACTTTCTTATAGAGCTTCAGCAAACTATCACCTCTGGCATGCCTAATGCAGATCTAATCAGTGAAAGTCACATAGCTTAAAATACCCATTAACATTTATCCAACTTTGTGCTCATGGACTTGTAATAATATTTAGTTTCATACTCATACCTCCTTATAACAGAATGCAATATATGTGCCATGACTTAACACATTAGTTTGAGAATCTGAACATGCCATTGTTTTTTCACCCTTGTGATGTGTTCTCAGAACGTTATTACGGACACTTAAGTCATTCTTATCGACAAGACTACCCTTCATATTCTGGTCGTCTCACTGGATCGGGCTCCTTGTACAAAGGCCATTCGAATGGCCAACATTGCAAGCCCCCAAGAAAGATGGAAAGGCCTCCTGCTCACGGGTAATGTTTGTGCAAGAAACATTTCATTAGTCGTCTACGGTTCTCTTAAGGATTGGTCCAGTAAGCTAGGTTATCGGTTAGTAGAGGTAATTAAATGTGACAATTTAAATTACCATATGCATTTATTATATTGCCAAAGATGTGTGGCAAGAGAGCACACAAGAACTGATGCGAACAAAATGATTTATTTTTAACCTTAATGCAATTAATGTTCAATAAGGAAACCTTTTGATTCTGCATGTTAATTGATAATTAAAGTTATTGTAAAATGAGGTTTAAGTACAACACTTGCGTTTTCATAATTTCAGAACGAAAGTGTTAATTATATATGGACAACATTCCATGCATTATTCACTGGCAAATATTTAAGCTGGAATGAATGTAAAAAGATTAAAGATATCAGTATAATTGCCTTTTTAACATTTAACATATTTGGGTAATTGCAAATTTTTATCTGTGGAAATAATGTCCTGAGTGCTGTGATGGCAAAAACAAGCAGAAGAATGACTCCGAATAGTACTCGTACTTCTGCTTGTCATTGTGTAGTGAGTCCAACTGAGTCGCAGGCGTTCCTTTTAGAGGCAACACATTTATTGTAACACCGTAACACAAAGGGGTAACGGCCGCTTTACCCGATACAGCCTAGGGTGGTGACCACCCAGCTAACTATGCTATACATAGGGGTTACTGCTACGAAGGGTCGGACCCTCACTCGGGTTTCCGACCACGTGGTTGCTTCGTAAGACGAAGAGCTTCTAGCTTGAGACGTAGAGCTTCCTGCTTGTAGGTGTTGAGCTTCCAGCTTGTAGGTGTAGAGCTTCCAGCTTGTAGAATGCAGCGACCTCGGTCCCTCTCAGGGACCCGCCTTATATCCCCCTACGGTCGGGCCGCTCCACCCTTGGCCCCGCCCGCCTTCTCGAGCATTCTCGTTCCCTCTCGATCCTTCGCAAGAGCTCTCTCCGGACACGTGATCACCCACTAGCACCCCACCTGGGGCCCCCTGTGTGGACACTCCAGATCACGTGTCTATGGGGTCAACCAGAGTGCCATGGCCCGGGGCAACCTTGCCCCTGGGCTGACACCCACCACACGCTGTGCGTGGTGCCCGCACTATCCCAGTGCTCACCAAGCCCCAGCTTGGGCTGGTATTACACACAGCCACTCACACGGTGCTGTCCACGATGTTGGATCATCGAATGGCACGGCCCTTCTGGGCTGGCACCATACAGTGACATCCCCGATGTCACTACAATTGTGGTAGATGTGTGGGCTATTTGGACCTTCGTGAAATGTCTACAGGCATGTGTAATTAATGTTATTTTGGCAAACAACCTTTGGTGCACAATCACTCATTAAATGGTTTTTGTACACTCAGCTGGAAATGCAGCCAGTTTTGGAATGTTTACTAGGAGTAATCATAAGTGTTGGTAACTTGGTAGAGTAAAGGAAGGATTTATAAAACAACTAAAATGTTTAGATCGTGATGTGGAGGCTAAGGGAGAAAATAAACATCTCCCCATTTGTGGCATGGTTTAATTTCACTAAATTAAAGATTGCAATCAAATTGTGTCACTTTGTAAAAGTAAAGTGGACACATGCAATCAATATATACCTACGAAATTAATCAGTTTGGTGTTGCATAGCCACGTAAGTTCTGTAACTGGCAACTCCTATGACTAATTGGGAATGGGACGCAAGCGTAGGATTGATCACCCTGTCGCTGGCCGCCTTTGGGGAGGGTGTATAGTATGAAAGGCCGAAACACCCTAGGAACCAAAGGGTCACTACTGACGATGCGCTCCCCAAATGTCACCAGGCTCACTGTTCATGAACTCTTGGAAGTGCTTGCACAAAGGATAGTAACATCTCATCCTGTGTTCTTGGAATCAGATGACATTCATCTGTTCAATCTCGCAAACACTTCCCAAACAGTTGTTGCTCCATCCATGACATCGGGGCTTTCTCTTGAGCTTATTAGCTTTGGCAACACGACTACTAGACCTCTTGTGTGACTCCACAATGACATTTAACATTGCTTAGCCTGTCAAGTGTGGCCATTGCTCAATATTATTTTACGTTCCCAGTCAATGTAAAGTAGCTGTATAATTGACAATATTGGAGTGGATTTATTGAGATAAGCTAATGCGCTGTGCCACTGAAAGAATGTCTGGTTAATGTAAAGGTCATATTTTGCTGGATTTTGGAATTAGGCAGCAAAAGACAGCAGTTTCTTAATAAATGCTTGCATGTATTCTAGATTTGAAGCTTTCGTGACTGCAAGGATTCATAACTCTTAGGTTTTTTCGGTAAAGTCACGTAGGAAAAAATAATAATGAATGAAAATAAATCAATTATTTTCCTTTATTATTATTTTTTACCTACGTGACATGCTTGTATGTAGTCTGTAGATTTTATTGTTTATTATTATGTAAAAATAGAAATACATAATGCATTAAGAGATAACGTACTCGCACATGCTGTGTAAAAATTTTACAACTTTTTTCTTTCACGTAGTCCCCATATTTTGTTTAATAAACGATGATCTCTCAGTTCTTAGGTGCAATAAATTGCACATAAATGTCATCTGCAATGCTCCGTATTCAAAACATCCTGACGGTTGTTACTAAATAGTGAATGCATACTTGCATGTTGTACATTCAACTGCAATAACTGCAGCAGACGTGTGCTATACATTTAAATTTGCTTAGTAGTTGAGTATATATTTTGTTGTCATCATGTGAAGTTCTACTAAATTGCTTTTCACTGCCGTATGGAGCATGTATTATTGAAGATTATTGGATAAACAATAAGGCTAGAACCATGTTAGTCCTCATGTGCAAGTGGCCTTACAAGGGACATTGTAAATTATGTGGTTTGAGTTGTAGCATGCATATCTCCTGAGAGTTCTTTGAGAGTTCTAGCTAGCATTCCATACAAATTATTCACACATTGTTAAAGGTCAATGTAAAATGCAACCTTTTTTTTGCGGAATTCAATGTGAAGTGAAAATCGTCTGAATTGTATGAATACAAATTCAAGTTTGACCTTTTTTGCTTTGAAACATAAATGTATAACACATGGTTAACAAAGGTATGTGGGGGAAAAATATCAAAATATTTGGTACTGCAGCTTTCAAGCTAATTTAAAGTCTTATTGAACGTTTTTTCCATATTAAGTGTGGTAATTTAAATGAAGTGTCTTGCCTTTGGAATCATGAATTTATAGTAACTTTGAAAAAAATGCAATTTATCTCCAAGATTTGCACTAGTGGAACATTGTAAGTGTTTCCAGAAATTCTTACTCACAGAGGTATTAGGAAATAAACCAAGATTGGAATTTTAATGTTCTCATTATCAGCTTCAAGGGAACAGTTAACCCAGCAGAAGACCACCCCTAAAATCAACGTTTACTATGCAGATTGTCAGCTTTACAACACTTTCCAGTTTCACAACTGCTATTGTTGAATTATAATTTTGGAATATCCATTATTGTGAAAAAATTGTGCCATATTTTGTACACTTATACCTTCCATGCCTCACTGGGTATCCACATTTGTTATACATTTATATTTAATAAAAGAGTTAATACCAGTAACAAAAACATTTGTAAATGATGTTAAATCACTCTTCAACACATACCGGTGGGCTAAAGTAGTGAACTATTTGTCTTTGTAAACGTGACATTTTTTACTGATTGGCCGTGTCGGGTGGTGGAGTGTTACGACACATTTATAAATAACGCGATCTAACCCAAAAACGTTTATTGTGAATACTGAGCCTTGTTGTTTTTCATGGTTGATTTTACTGCTAATAAAATATGCTGTGCATTACCTCACCATATGGCCCCTTAACAATACCAAAAGTAAAATACTGTGTAACGCTTACTTGAAATCGGCAGTTGGTCCAGCAGATGGCGCATCATGACTTTGAAAGCCTTTTCTTGGCGTTTATTCAAACAATGCAGCACAATATTTAGTTATGAATAATACGTCTTTGTAGAGAGGCTTTGAAGAGTAATCTAATCGGAGGATTACAATACAGGTCCAAGTTGTATCTCAACTTGTGTTTTGAACGAAGTTGTGCTGTAGGAATGCTGGTAGAACCAGACATGTTTTACTCGTGATAATTTGCATAATTATGTCATTGAACTTATTGAGATGATGGCCTTCATTATTTAAAGTTACTTGTTCTCATTTTGCCCCAGTAGGAATTTAGCTTAATGAAGGGGTGAAAAAAAAACCGTATCTGAAAAGGACTCCAGTGTTTTTGCCTGTACGTTAGTTCCTTAGATGTGCGTGAGTGATAGTGCTTTCAGCTGCTTAAGTGTGTTTAAAATTACTTTGTGCTATTTTTTTTTTCATGTGCAGATCAGAGGAGCGGTTCGGTGGCGTGAAAAGCAGCCGTACTGCCGTTCAAGCGGAGCTCTCTTCAACCAGTGACGTGCAGGAACCCAATTCTGGATTGACCGACTTTACTGGAGAATATGACAGCCCTGGCGCAGACCATTGTGTGAGAATAACACATTACTCTTTTTGTTTAGCAGCACTTTCTGCCCACCGCCCTGAATGTAATAAAACAACTGGAGTGAGGGGGGTATTTTTGGCAGAGCAGATATATGGTGGGGTGAAGTGGAGGTAGGGGATTTTTAGAGAATCGCACGGTGAACTCAATAACACGAATGCGATTCCGAGTAATGGCTAACATCAATGGCGCAGTGATACCTGAATGGGTCCTGGGCAACCCCGTTTACTAACCCATAATGCCCAGTTTGGTCAAGTATGGTTAAACAACCCTCAAGACCTACGTGGTGTGGGGAAGCCTTTGTCTATCAGTGCACTGGTAATGTGCTGTGAAGTAGAAAGATATGGTATGTGGAAAAGGCACATACAGCCTCTCCATTTATTTAACTAAAAACACCCATTTGGCATACTTCCAGATCATTAATTCTCTTCTTGTCATGGATGGAAAAAGGAGCACGCTTGAAATGAAAGTGCTTGAGGGTACTAACGTAGACACTCGTGCACTGAATGTGCACATTGCAAAAGCACCCGTTTCCGAATGTGAAAACAGTACAAGAACACGACATTGTTCATACTTGTCTGTACAGAAACACCATTCTGATCAAAAACTGCATTTTTAATCATTTGTGGTGATATAACAATTTTTCTTAAGCCACAGGTTTGTATAATGCCATTTTTAATAATGAATTACAATACACACCAAACCAAGTTTCATTCGTCAAGCTTAGGCAACAATATACACAATCAGAACCATATGTTGCTGCTGTTAAGAATTATATACCCAAAGGAAAAAAGGCACACCAGGAAAAAAGATAAAGCACATTGACACATTAACACAGTTATACTTGTATGTATTTTAACATGCAGGAGCAGACAGAAAATGGGTCCAATGTATTAATATTGGATACAAATTGCGTGGACAAAAGTGAAGAAGGTAAGTTATGCCTCAATGTCACAAAGGTTCACTGCAAGAAATAATTATTCTTTATCACATCTTAAACGCTGTACTTATGCATGCTCTCCCCCCTTAGGCACAGAAGACCCAAATGTGACTCCACTAAATATTCCAGTAGTGGATGGTGAAAATGTAAGGCTGTTTTTTTTGTTTGGGAGTAATGTTTGTGTCGAGACAATCATCAACGATCATGCCACTAATAATCATTACATTAAAAGGAACTTACTTTTTGTGCATTGATGTTAATAAAAATATGTGGAGTAATTTACACGTGTACATTGTACTTATAGGAGTGGAAAATGTAAATCAAGTGGATAAACCTTTGGTCGTAACCAATTCAAGTTACACCTGGCTTTCATTTTGAGTCTCTCGAGTGGCTGTTGGTTATTGATGAGGAGAGGCATGTGGGAGCTGAAATCTCACACAAGTAGATTGTATTCGCCTGATATACGACTTGTAATGAATCTCGACAGTGACTACAGCCAGACAACAGGAAGGGTAGAGTTTATTCTTGACTTTCTCTTCAGAATTATTTTGTAATGTGTAGTCAATACAAACGTTGAGGGGAATATATCCCATGTGATTAGTTTACTGTTATGTGAAAATAATTAACTCGTGGAATATATAATTTTTATATATGTATCCCCTTTTTATTTTGGGATTGTATAAACAATCTGATACCTTATTATTAATAAAAACACTAAAATTAAAACCACAAAGCCATTCAACTTTTTTCTGTGCATTTGTATAAAATTGCAGTGCTTGATATATGCATTTGTTCCCTGTATGAAGGCTTGTGAAGAGACATCTGGGCAGTCAATTCCAGCCAGTGCCTCAACGTTGCCGTCTTCTGTCCAACAACCCATAGCCCCCATATATTCTCAGCTTGCGTACCCGAAGGCAGTTCCATCGTGTAAGCGACCACAACTTATACATTTTAATTGCAATACGTTCCATTGCGAATACGTGCTTTCATAAAACTTGCCTCGCAAATCTGAATTATTGTTGGAAAATGATTTAATATTAGACTGGATAATCTTACAACTGTTTTTTACACTGAAATTTCAGGTGTTTATTTATTGCCGCCATGGAAGGCTGAATGCGTTAACGAGTTGGGGGAAGTTGTGTCCAGTTCTCCGCCATTTTCATTTGATCCCAACGCAAGTGATCTCCCACAAGGTATACCTAACTCTACCATTGCCAAAAAGCACTTTCAAGAGTAATGAACCAAATTGGCATACTTAAAAAAAATTAGGACTCACGTTGAAAAAGATGTGCCGTTTAGAACAGCTGTTGTCTGATTAAGGCCTGCACGTTCCTCTGATTGACAGATGAAGGAAATGACTTGATCCTACATTTTTCAAGACTTAAATATAACATTTCTAAAAGAAACGTGATAAATATTGAATATGCATACAATTCACATTAGAAAAAAAAAATTGAGGCTCAACTCCAAGACTATTAAATCTTATCCATTACGGATTTAAAAAGTATTTAAATAAAAATGTGATTTTTGTAAAATGATCTGTAGAATACATGTATTTGGTAATGTGGTAACTACGTGCAAGCTTTTTCTAATCTTTTCTTTTTGTTGAATATAGATAGGAAAATACTGCAGTATTTTTTCAATCGCGGTCTACAGGTAAGTAAATATGCATTTAGAAAGTAAATATCATTATTACATTGTATTCACAAAATGATTTAAAATGCGCATTAGTGCTTGAAAAGAAATGAATATGCCCTACTTCAGTTACACAACAGTGGTCAATAGTAGTGACTGTTTATTGGCAGAGGAGTCCCCTTATGTAAATTACATTGTGGTAAACCACTTAAGGTTTTTTTATACAACCAGACTTCCCTTGACGGTTTAGGAGACTAGTTTCCACGTGAAACTATTCGGAGTACGCATTGTAAGTATTCTTGTAATGCAGTTACGGGAGAAGCAACACATTAAAAGAAACCTGAAATTGCTTGCATATTCATGAAGAGAAAGCGTAATTGCTTTGTAGATGTGTTAATGTACTTTATAAATCTTGGCTTAGAAAACTGTTCCTAAACATGAATGGACTGCATAAATAATAAAAACAAACTTGTTTGAAGCTATACGAAATTACATATTTAGTTTAAATTTAATATTTATACAGATTGAAGCAGTGTACATTTTGATCAAATAAGCTACTTTAAAATGTGTTTTTATGGGTTTGTGACTGCCATTGTAGAGTTGGTGGCACGAGAGGGCATATGCCCAAAACTACTTGGAGTCGGGGTCTGGCCATGAAGCACCCCTGTACCAAGAGGCCCTCAAACCTCACTTGGACACAGCCACAAGTCCAAATCCACCCACCTTGCAACTCCAGACCCAGCCTCTGGGGGCTCAAACAGCAGGTACAAGATCCTCAGCAACTGCTTTGTAACATTTTATTGGTTTGAATGTAAACAAACACGAGTGGTGAATGTGCACATATCCGTATTGATGTTAACAACTTTATACGTTTTGTTTGTTTTAAGAGGCCTTCATCCAGCAGTGGGATTAATGATGGCTGATAATGCACTACAAAATATGCAATGAGACCCAGATAGTCCATCATAGAATTATTCCGAATACACGAGAGAATTACTAAGTATTGAAATGTTCAAGTATATTTTCTAAATGAATGGCTAGATGAAAATTACATTTTCAAGTTTGACATTGTTACGTACCTTGTACAGGCGTGTCTATGCAGCAAGAAACCTTGACTTTTTTTACTTTCATTTTTTCCACAGCACCTTACCATCATGCTTACACCTCTGTCAACCCAGGTGGCCCACAGCCAATATTTGTCCAACCCATGCCACAACATCAGCTGCCATACTCCCATGCGCCCACCATGGCCCTCCATACACCATGGCAAAGGGGGCTGTTGCAATGGAAACCCAGAATGCTTTGACGGTGTGAGTTATCTGATACACTGGGTCATGTGTAGCCTGCCACCCAGAAATTAGAGTTCTCAAGGGTTGCTAATCACAAATACATTTAGGCCATTCTTAGTCATGGAGGGGTTTAGGCTTTGTTTTGGTTCAATTGAACTGGGTCCAAACCATTAACCTTGAGCCAGCTCTGAGCATGGGCCTAGCTATGCTTAGGCTTTCTATAAGCTGAGCTTGAGCAAAGTAATTCCAATCAGAAATGTGACATTTGACTAACTTGCTTTGACTGTAAACATTACTGAAGCTATATTACAAATGTTGTGAAACTTAACGCTTCATGTAAACGTGTGGTTATGCAGTAGTATGGAAAGTTTGTTAACTAATTAGCTAAATGTTGTGATTTTTCATTGACATTGAGTTCTGCTCAGGTACGTTTGGATAGGTATGCCTCTAATCTGCCACTCATAATTTAGAAATATTTCAGACTTGACTCAAATACAGTGAATCCCATACACACTTAGGCTCAGTCACGGCTCCGCTCAAATTAACTGCTTAAAAGCCATACTTGCACGCTGGCTCAGAACACAATTCCAGCCATGCTCAGGATTCATAATAAGTTTTTTGGTTAGATCGTGTAAACATGTCATTAAACCCACCACCACCCAACACAGCCAATTAGTAAGGTTTGTCACAAAATATTCCAATTCGTTACTAGTACAGCACACTGGTGTGTTGTGTTTACTCTCCACATGAGTGTGCTGTACTAGTAACGAATTGGCATGTTTTATTTACGTGACAAACGTTACAAATTAGCTGTCAGGTGGTGGCGGGCTTAACCACATGTATTTGTGATCCAACCCAAAAAAACCTCTTTTTGCAAAAGCCTGTGTTAAATGCTCAGGATTTTTGGAAGATTAGCAAAGCCATGCCTGAGCCACTTGCGTGTCTGTGGAACAGTGGCCCAAGCTGGATGGGAGCTGTAACTTGGAATATGGCCCTTGCAGTACATTTACTAACCTGTAAAAACACGATTTGCATTTTTTGAAAATAAGAAATGTTGATAAATGATTGTAGCACTAAAGGAAGCAATATTTGAAAATGTTAATGACACTGAATTCTTCTTGATGTCAACATTCCTTTTATACAGTTTAAAATGATCAGTTAAACACTTAATGTAAACATTTCATGTTATGCTTTATTTAATTGACATTAACCTATGTGGTTTTCTTTGTGCAAGTTAAGCTATAACCTGTTACCAGAACGATTTAAAAAAAGTGCACAATAAATGCAAGTTCCTTTCATGATGCCCCTTGGCTCCTTTATTTGCCATCCAAGCATACAGGAAAACACCTACCAAAATCTGTTGAATGATCTTGTTGCAATACCTGTCTTTACATTGCAGCAACATGAAAAAAAACTGCAAATAGCAACCTTTGAGTTACTGTTGGCTGTAATGTTTTAACATAGTTCTGAACATGAATCTAAATAGGCATCTTGGTAAATTTAGGCAATGGGCAGCAAAGAAATACAACGATGGACTTGTGAACATTGTGAAATAGCTGTGAATTAAAGCATCCGTACACGAACCCCATAAGTGACTTTTCAAATTAATTTTCATTCCAAATATTTTTGCAGTAGATGACTTAATATTTAAGTTTTTTTAAAATAAAAAATCTGATAAAAATGCAACCAAAAGAAGCAACTTTAGTTTCCAAAATAGATGCACAAGTACAATCCAAAGTTTCTCTTGAATAAAATGAGTTACTCAAAGGCTGTCCCATTGCAAGAACTGCACAACAGTTCAGTCTTCTAGGAAAAAGTAGTTGCCACTCTTTTTCTGTTCAGTGTCCTGTAAACAAGAGCAAAGCAGAGGATTCAGTTACAACATTCAAGACGCTATGATGATAATAATCCCATTCAACCGTATTCCCTTGTTCTAGATTTGAAGCTTTTGTGACTGCAAGGATTAACTTTGTTTTTTTCGGTACAGCAACTTTTGCGGATAATGATATTGGCCAAATTAATTACCTTAACGACGTAAATAAGCTATTACACATGAAAATTACCATAGGAAAAACATGCATTGGTTATAATAAACAAAGTAAATACAAATAAATATGAAAGTTTTAAATCGTTTCTAAATGAACTTATCTTAAATTATGATGCTGCACAGTAGCATTACTGTATCTCACATCACATTCTCTCACCATTTTCGATTCAGTAGTGTAGAGTTCAAGATGCGATTCACTGATAGCAAGTTCGTGAATAACGACGCAATACTGTACAGTAAAAAACTCAATTTACAGCAACGGTATGTATGAGCTTTCTACCTTGATGGAATTCAGCTTGTTGATCCTTGGACGGAAGTTGTTGGGATCTCTTCTGAACGTGATCTCCAATGATGCCAGAAATTTGTTCATTCCAGCGAGCAGATTTTGGGGGCTGAAAGACAATACCCACACCACACATCTATACATATAGCAATTACAGTAACATTTATTGAATCCTAAGCAATTTTCAAAATCAACCATGATCAATCCACTGCCAGATGAAGGCAAGCTGTCACCAGCCATTGCGGTCTTCTAATGCAACAATATATTTAAAATGGCTTCATTCCATTGTGTTAGATGGATTGAATACATTTTAAAGTAGCTAAGCAGACTTCAGTATGCCTTATAACCAAATTTCACATTTTTTAAAGTCCCAATTTCTAATTCATTACCATCTGGAGCGGGAGATCAACGTTCTTTAGTTATAAAAAAAAGCAACCTTCAAATGACAACATTTATATATCAGAGCATTTAAATGGCAATATATAATTTAAATGACTGACCTTTGCCAATGCAATGTGCAGGGGTGCGGGGGTGGAGTTGTTTAGACTTACGTGTTTGCTATGGTGTTCACCGAGGGTACCCCTTCAAACACGATGACCCGGTCAGCCAGGTAGGTGGCCATGATGAAGTCATGCTCCACCACAAAGGCAGTCTTCTTGGCATGCAGGATGAATCTGTGTGACACGTGGCATTGCAGATTGTTTTTATGGATTGGCTCAATGGTCATGACTTCACTCTGGCAGAACATAACCCAAGCTGTGGAGTGAAAATAACAACTCTGGCTACGTGGCAGTATTTCAAATTGATAGACGATTCAAGAAAGCCAGTGAATTATTTGAAAGTATACCCTTTTCTGTTTTGTATTGACAAACATTTAACTTTAAAAAAGAATATTAGATATACACTGTGCTTTATTGATCTATTGTATATTTCAACAAAATAGTATAAATTTTGCCAAATTGTGGCTATTAAAAGGAATGTTGAAAAACTAAAAATCAATGTAGTGCAGAGAATTAGCCAGAATCTAGCTTATTAGCCATACATTGTCAAAACACATTTCAAAGTAGCCTATACTTTCCTAACCTTTGGACTTGTTTTCTTTGGAAAAGGCTTTATTGATTATATATTTCATACTTCACACAGTAAATTACAGTAATGCAGTGCAAACCACTGCAACACAGTGAAAGCATGCCCTAGAATGAATGATTGAATTATGCTTCACACTATATTAATAAAAAAAAAATTGCTGGCTAGATTCCTTGTTGTATTCCTGCCTGCCTCGTGCGTGAAAACGTGTGGATGTGCGGTGATGTCACCATGCAGATCTGCGTTATGACGTCACATGGATCCCACAGCGTTGAGCCAGGCTCGTAGTGCTGTCATCACGCCTCCCCCACCCACCCACGATCCCGGCCGTGTATGCCGCACAAATGTGATGAGGGAGGGAAAGAGGGAGATAGAGGAGGAAGAGACAGGTGGGGAGGGAGGCAATGGATGTGAAACGGAAAGGAAAGCAAAACAGTGGGAGGATTAGGGAGAGGCAAGAGAGATTGAGATGGAAAAATGAGATGGTGAGTGGTGAGAGAAACAGGAAGAGAGGGGGGAGGGAAGTGGGTGAGATACAGTGGAGGGAGGAGATGAAGTGGGAGAGGAGGCAGATGGGAAAGACAAACGAGAGACCAAGGTGAGATGAATTGGGATACATGGTAGAGAAGGCGATGGAAAGGAAGAGGAGACGGCTCTATCATACTAGTCATACTAGATTATAAAAACAAGTTTGGATGGATGTTGTACACTGCTCACCGCTTGATAACCTTGGCTGCCACAAGACGCTGCTCCGAGTCAAGGTAGGCAGAGGGCTCGTCTATGAGGTAGACGTCAGCGGGCTTGCCCAGGCACAGCGCCAGCGCAACGCGCTGCAGCTCACCACCAGACAGGTTCTGCACCTGTAGGTCCAAGCATAAGTGCAGCACCACATCCCGTTTACAATATCCTGCTGCTGCTGCACAACCGCACTCGACTCCTTCAACCGGAGAGAAGACAATATCTACACACCCATCACTGTTACACCAAGGAATGTAATAGGTATAGGTGCATCCCTGCAAGATGTCAAATGTTGCTGACAATGCAATTCAATATTAAGTTAACTAAAAATTTGTCCCCATCACCTTTGAAGCTATTCAACCTATGCGATTATTTTAAATGGGGGTAAAGTATCTGGATATCTCATGGAGGTATTCATATTTAAGACATGATTTTACCTTTCATCCCTTTATAAAAATCATGGACAACGATCCTGATTTGTCTTTGTTGCCAAGTAAATGTAAACTAAGATTCCTAGTTGCTTTTATTACATTTTGCCAGCAGTTCAGCTTGCCCAATGCGGAGTCTATAATTTTTACTTGAAACATTTTTTTTTTGGAAAGTAATGCATAATACGTTGTGACTGGATTATTAGTAAGCACTTTTGTTCATTCAGTGCGAGGCTCCCACCTCCTGGTCAATGATGCTCTCGATCTGCAGAGGCTTCATGACGTCGGTGCAGAACTGCGGGTGCATGTACGAATTGCGGATCTTTTCATGCAACAGTTGTCGCACGGTTCCCTGTGGAGAAAACACGCTTAAATATAACCACATCCTACGACCTGCCAAGTACATTTATCAAACATTTTGGCATTCGCTCAAGCTTTAAGTCATTCTGCTCTTAGCCTAAGTACTCCCTATTCAAATAATCTTGTGTAAATGTTAATTTTGATTCTACAAATTAACACGTAATTATTTTCAACATGCAAACGTTAACTTACCGTTGCTTTGGGACTGATTTTCTGAGGTTTGTAGCTGACATTCAGAAATGGGACTTCACCTGAAAGAATACCAACATATATATTTGGTTGCAAAATATTTTTCAGCAAAATAATAAAGCAGTCATATTCTCCCTAGAGGCATAATAAACGGCTTGGCAATCGCACCTCCATCATCTGGCTTTAGTCTCCCAGCCAGCATCCTGATGAATGTCGTTTTTCCAGTACCTAGAAGAAAAAAACATTCCAGAGCTCAATGGGAATGCAAAGCATGTTATTTATAAGCATGTCAGGATATTTCTATGATCAAAATGTTCCCCCTTTTGAGCCGAGATTCCTTGGACCTGCCTTTTAAAAGATAACCAAGCTGCATTATTAGAGCGGTTTAATGTGCATCTGTGCAGAACTTTGATAATCGACTCTCGGGGGTTGATTGTGAGGTCACGCCGTCTGAATGTTTTACCGTTCTCCCCGAGCATGACCATGATTTCTGAGTCGGTGAACTCCCCGGCTTGGATCTCCATGACGAAGTCTCCGAGGCATTTCTTCATGCTAGGGTACTGGTAGCAGCACATCCTCTTGATGTCATCCTCTGCCGCCGTCTCCGCCACCTTGAACACCAGCGCCATGTCGCGGAATCGCAGGTTCTCCGTCGGCACGTACCCGTCCAGGAAGATGTTGATGCCTGTGACATCGTAAGGATCACAAGCACGCATTGGCCGCAGCCTCCCACAAGCTGTGAATGGTGACATCTCTGCTGTTTGTGTCAATCCACTATGGCATGAACTCATTTCTTTAGAACTGCTTTTCGTGTTTAGTTTTTCGTCCTTTCCCCGCACCTCCGATTAGCACGGTTGGCTACGTACGGTGTAAAAGAAGTTCAACGTACACACATGAAGACTTCCCCACAATACTGATCATTGGGATTGCTTGACCATACTTTATTG